TACTTCTGGCTGGAAACAGTATACCACACGGAGACATCTGTAAATTGGACTTTAGATTTTTTTCTTCCTCCATCAACCCATCAAAAACAACACTTAGGGCCAGGGATTTAACTCAGTGGTTATGCCGCCTGTCTCGAAAGCCCAAGGACCTGAGTTTGATCCCCGGTACCAAAAAAACCCAACGCTTGATGAGACCATTAATACAGATTAAGGGAAGAGTGGTAGAAGAGGAATGCAAGCAATTCACTCAGGCAAACTACTTGTACTATGCTTTACAACTTGCTTGGACCTGGGCCATATATGTCACTTCCTCTTGATGACAGAGTGCTGCTGGCCACCCACCCTGGCTACATTGATGTCATGGCTGGGTAAATAAGATAACACTAAGTTTAGGTGACACAGTCATCTGGTATATCATGGTCAACTATCCAATTTCACCAGATCCCTGCAGCAAGCCAGGAACTTCCAAAGGAAAACAACTATTTGCTAAAGGAGGGTACTGAATGACTCTGAAATCCAATGCTCGAGTATAAAGGCCAAAACTAGAAAAACTTACTCTGCAGCCTGGTCCTAAAGAAAATTTTCTCTCCTTGAATGTTCCCCCAATTTAATTTGGCAGCTTTCAAGTGACTCTGTTACTGGTCAAAATAATGTAGCTAAAGTCCAATTTATAGATGGCTAACTCCCAAGTTTACAGATGCCTACCAGTAGCTCACACCTATAACCCCAGCACTCTAGGAGGCTGAGGTTTGAGGATCAAAAGTTCCAGCCCAGGCTGGACACTTTAGTGAGATCCTGTCTCAAAATAAAAAAAAAATTTTAAGGTCTGGGAATGTAGTATAAGGCTCTGGGTTCAATTCCCAGTACTGCAAAGAAGAGGAGAAACAGAAAGAGTAAGAAGAAGCCTCCAGGGCCAGGGATTTAGCTCAGTGGTTCCAGCACCTGCCTTGCAAGCACAAGGTCCCGAGTTCAGTCCCCAGCACCAAAAAAAAAAAAAAAGAAGACCCCTCTACACACCAAGTATTGTACTCTTTCTTAGTGGTAGGAAATGTGATATATACAACAGTTTGTTTTTCACTTTGTAAGGAATATCTTAACACATCCACTATGGTTTGAATTTCCCCCTGGAGGTTCATGTTTTGGAAGCTTGGTTCCCACTGTGACTACATTAAGAGGTGATAGGACTTTGAAGAGATGGAGCCTGATGGGAAGTCAAAAGACTGGGCTCTCCCAGTGCTCTGGCTTCCTGTCTTGTCATGTGGTCTCTACATCTTGCTTGCACTCCCACTGTTGTGGTGTCACTCACTGTGAAGTGAGAGATCACCAGAGCCATGATGATGCTGGCATTATGCCCTTTAACTTCCAGAACTGTAAGCTAAATTAACTTCTTTTCTTTATATGCTACCCAACCTCAGGTATTTCATTACAGTACTAGAAAATGGATCAATACAATGCTCCACAGCCCTAGGTGGTACACTGAGTAGACAGGCCCCTATATATTTGTGGGATTTATTATCCATCCTCTGGCACACATATCATGCCTTATCAAATCATCTAGGGAATCTACTACTTTCTGCTCTCAAATCCATCAGGATGACATCATCAATTGCATAGCTGATTAGCCTGATATCCATTGGAATAGTGATTTGGTCAAAAATCCTACAAACCAGGCCAAGGATGTAGCTCAGTGGCACTGCACCTGCCTGGCAAGTGCAAGGTCCTGAATTCAATCCCTGGTTCTGTTAAAAAAAAAAAAATCCTACAAATCAAGTGTGTCTAGAGAATGACATAGCCCAGAAACAAGTTAGTAAAGGTTTACTGCTGCCTTTGCTAAATGAATACAAACTATTGTTGATGTTTGGTACAGTAGCTCCCCTTCAGCAGTTTCACTTCCCACAGAATCAATTACCTGAGGTCAATTGTGGTCCAGTAATACTAAATGGAAAACTCCAGAAATAAAAATTAAATTTTAAATTATGAGCAGCTCTGAGTAGTACAATGAAATTTCACACAATCCCTCTCTGTTTTGCCCAGGATGTGAATCATCCCTTTGTCTATACACTACCTATTAAGTTACTTAGAACCTGTCTTGGTTATCAGATTGATTATGGTATTACAGTGCTTGTATTCAAGAACTTCTTACTTAATAATGGTCCCAAAGCACAGGAATAGTGATGCTGGCAATTTTATTAACATATATTGTGAAAACTATACTATTATCAGTTATTGTTGTTGTTCTCTTATTATACCTAATTTACAAATTAAACGTTATCATACATATGTATGTGTAGGAAACACACACACACACATATATATATACATATATATGTATATGTGTGTGTGTGTGTGTGTGTGTGTGTATATATATATATATATATATGTATACCCCAGTGCTACCCATGGTTTCAGGCATCCATTGGAAGTTTGGAATGTATCCCCCATGGATAAAAGGGAACTGCTATATAGAAGAATAAGCAGTTACTAGACTTCTGATTGATTGCTGGGAATCAGTAATTGCCAATCTGCTCCAAGAAGACTGCATCTGGAAGAGTGCCTACAATTGGAGTTTATCATAATTCCTCTATTCTTTTTTATTTTATTTTATATATTAGTGCTGAGGATTGAACCCAGGGCTTCATGCATGCAATGCAAGAGCCCTATCACTGAGCTATATCTCTGGCCCTATATTTTAGGGCCAGAGATATAGACATCCCCCCAAAGCCTCATGTGCTCATAGGTAGGGCTTTTTGGTGCTGGCAGGATCTACGGTGTGTGATACTGGGATTAAGGTTGTGTAATACTAAATTAGCCCACTGATTGGAATTAGCATAGTTTGGGGAGGATGGGGCACAGTTGCTCTGGGAGGGTTGTGGCACCTGGGGCTGTGTGGTTGGCCCTAAGCTTGCTCTGACAAAACAGTTCTGAAGGTGTGAAACTCTCCACCTTCCCCATAAGGCTTGCGGTAAAGGAGCTGGGTGTGGGTCCGTGATCTCAAGCTCAGAAGGCTGGTCTCTCACTGAACCACAGTTACAAATAAAGACCTACCAATAGTGGCGAACCTATGGCATGCGTGCCGCAGCAGTAGCAGCTGTTTATTATCATTGAAAGCTCTAAAACTTTCGCCATCACTGACCTTGACAATCCCTTGGTCTGTTTCAACTCAGCCCATGATCTCTGGCTGGATGAAGATAAGCAACATTTCATAGGCCTTGCATAGCCTCAGTGTTTCTTTTTCAAAAAATGGAAATGATCCGTACCTGCTTTGAGGGGTTGTTGGAAGGAATCAGGCCAGGAGTGTGAAAGTACCGTAGGAAAAATTAATTCATTCGGCCATTTTACAGAAAACAAGACCCTAACCCACCCAGCGCGATTACCACAGTGTTTCTGCACTAGGTTACATCTCCCAATTGGCTTTTCGTTCATAGACCTCAGGGCGATAACCTTACTAAAAATGGCGCAGGCGGCTTCAGGAGTTGGTGCGGCGGCGCGGACTCCCTGTGCCCTCTGACCTGCTGGCAGCGGGCGGAGGGGGGAGTCGGGCGCCGCCATATTGGCTGTTGTCCTGTGAGGGGAGCGGCGGCAGCGGCGGCGCGAGTGGTGCGAGGGAGCGGCGCGAGTGGCAGGCAACATGACTCGGAGGCGGAGCAGGCCGAGCGGCGGCGCGGGCCGGCGTGAGCGGGCACGGGCCCCGGGGCTGCAGAAGCTCCAGGCGCCTGAGTCCCCCCCGCCGCCGCCAAGCTTGGAAGCTGCAGCGGGTGCAGGGCCTCAGGAGGCGCCGGCGGAGCCCGACCGCGACGGCCCCAGGGAGGAAGATGAACCCAAGCTGGTGCCTGGCCCGCAGGTAGGAGCGAGCGAGGCGACTTGATGGTCGGGCGCTTTCATCTCCTCTGAGCTGGAGCGGGGCTGGGTTGGGCATGGACCATCCTGCGGGGTTGGGGCTGGGGCTGGGGCTGGGGCTGGGGCTGGGGCTGGGGTTGGGGTTGGGGTTGGAGCCTTCCTCCCGAGTCCTGGGCCAAGGCTTTCTCCCCCTCTCCCCCTCCCCTGGAGCGGGAGTAGAGCCTGGACACCTCTCCAAAGCCACGGCTTGGCCGGTCCTCCTGTGACCAGGCTGAAACTGCCCCCTTTCCTCACCGCCTCTGGCCCAAAGCAGAAGCCATACGTTGTGGCAGTACACCACACTGAGACTGGACTCTGGTCCTGTGGCCACAGCTCAGCACTCTGACCTCCACTTCCCTCTGGGCCCACCTGCCCCCTCCCCAAAGGCCACCTCCTTGGGCCCTAGAACCTGCTGGGCTGCAGCCTCTTGCCTCTCCCACTGGGAGCGGCTTCCCTCCCTCCCCTGCATTTCCTATAGCCCTTGCCCCTCAGCAGCTGTGACCGTAGCATCTGTCTCCTGGGACCTCCTCCCAGCCCAACGGAGCAGTTGAAGCAGATAGCCATGCTGCCCAGAAGACTAGTGGGGTTCCTGCACTAAGGTGGAAACCCAGCAAAATTTGCCCTTTCAAATGCTCTGTACCTCTGTCCCACAAGGCGGCTCCCCCCATTCCCCCCTCAGATCCCAGGTTTGGCGAATCCTGCTGAGAGTGAGCAGTAGGAGGATTTTCGAAAGCTTCCAGCTTGCCACCTGGAAGACGGTCACTTTATTTTGAGCAAAGGAGATAATAGGTACCCTGCCAGTGTTCACTGAGAAGCGGGGGTGACATGGGCCACAGTTGCTCGGGGAGGGTTCTGGCACCCGGGGCTGGGTGGCTTACCCTAAGCTTGCTCTGACAAAAGAGTTTTGAGTTGGTCTTTTGGCTGGGCCTGCCAAGGAAGGCAGGCCCCTGCAGGAGTCTTGGAGGGTCGGATGCAGCGCCGGATGAGGATGAGGCGTGGCGGAAGATGCGTTTGGCTCTGCAGACACTGCATCGGGCAGCAGGGGACTCTGGGAGGCTGGTGCAGCCAGAAGGCATGGCTCTTGACAGCCTTCTAGTAGAATCTCTGGAATTGTGCATGTGAGTGGGGATGCTATTTGGGGTACCATTTCTGGAAAGCCTTCCTTGACCTCCCCAGTTGCGTGAGGTGTCCCCTCTGTGCCCACAGCCCTCTGTGCTTCCCCCTGGTAGCACTCCCCATTCTGTGATGAACTGTTGTGTTGATGTGTCTGTTCCCCACACTGGACTGTGAACTCCACAGGGACCCAGCCTGTGTCATCTATCTGATCCTCCAAACTTGCCCAGGATGTTGCCGACCCAGAGTAGAAATAACTAGGTGAATGAGAGAGAGAATTAATCAGCACAGAACCTGTGCATATTGTAACCCAGTTTTGGTACTGGTTTCCTTTGTGTCTCAGATGATAATGAGAAGTTTTTTAATTAATAAAAATGTCATTAACTATTGAACGTCAGAAGCCCTGTCTTCACAACCACTCCTACCCTGAGTTGGCACTGGTTCTGGGAGGAAACTCTCCAGGCTGGACCCCATTCCTGCTTCCATCCCTGAGGCTACTTGCCCCTCTAACCTGCTATGGCCCCCTGGCAGTGCTGTTATGTAAACCTGGGAGGGTGGGAAAAAGGCAGCCAGGCAGCTGTCATCCTCTCCTTCCCATTCAGGTCATACAGTACTTTAGGTTCTTGTCACATAGAGGTGCCAAAAGCTTGGATGATGACTTAACCATTTGTTTTACTGATACAGTTCTCCCAAGAGTTAGAAGCTTCAGTAACTCCTCTGATATCTAGGTCTATACTCCACTTATCCACTCTACTACTTGACTAGCCAGTTCATACATTGACATACTTTCTAATCTTCCCTCTCCCCTTCTATTTCTCCTCAGCATTTAGCACAAATATGATACATTAATTACTGATATGATTATTGTCTGCTTTAATGTATAAATTCTGAGAGTACAAGAAACATGTCAGTCACCATTATTCCCCTGTTGATTAATAATATTAATGAAGGGCTGGGGATTTAGCTCAGTGTTTCCGCTTCCTGCCTCGCAGGCACACAGTCCCAAGTTTGATCCCCAGTACCAAAAATATAATAATAATAATGTCAGTGAACAAACTGAAGGATGCAAATATTAATGCTGTTTTTCAGATTGAGAAACAGAAACTCATAGAAATTAAATATTTGCAAAAATGACTCACGCTATAGGTATTAGGCCAAAAAAAAGGGTCATCCTTATATATTTTGAGGAAGAGGGGAGGGTGGACAGAGTCTCACCAAATAGTTCAAGCTGTCCTTGAACTCACTATGTAGCCCAGGCTCATATTCATTCTCCTCCTTCAGCCTCCCAGGTGCTGGGACTACAGGCATGTGCCACAATGCCTGGCACTTTGGGGGAATTTTAAGAGCCACAGAGATAAAACACACTGACAGAGTATTCTGATTGTGCCCCACTTTTTTGCTCAGGTTGGGGGTGGAGTCTGGATTCAAGTAGCAGGCTTTTGTACCCTGGTGAAATGTACCTGGTGACGGGGGAAGGTTAGTCATTACTCTGCCCACAGGCATGCCTTTTGTGAGGATGTCTTACTCCTATCCGTACTCATCCCCATCTTATAGGCAGAGAGTAGGTAAGGAAAGTGAAACTCAGTGTCATATGTAGTCCAGAATCCAAAGGCAGCAAAAAAGACCGCTTCAGGCTGTATGTGATAATGCACACTTGTAAGCCCAGCCCTTCTAAAGCAAGAAGCTCTTGAGTTCAAGGGCAGCCTGGACTACATAGCAAGATCCTGTCTCCAAAAAAGAACTGCTTCCACTCCACAGACTTGTTATAAGGTCCCAATTTACATAATTTACATGTTTTATTTCTGCTTTTATCTTAATCTGAGCCTGTATTTTAAAAATCAGAAGGTTTCCCACAAATCTGGGTTTTTTGCCTCTTTAATCTAAAGATCTGGTGATACCAGGTTCACTTCTTCACAGAGTAGTAGTCGCAGGGCAGGGGATTTAGCTCAGTGGCACCGTTCCTGGCTTGCAAAAGCAAGGTCCTGAGTTCCATCCCCAGTACCAGAAAAAAAAAATCCTGATCACAGAGTAGTAGTCCTAAGTAACACCTGCCTGTTTTTTAGGTACTGTGTTCTCTTTAGGACTCTGTGGTTCTCATTAGGCTTCTTCACTTGTTTGCATAATCTGTATACATTTAAATGCAGGACCTCAAGGTGAATTGGGATCCCAAAAGTCCTTCCAGTTGCTTCAGGTCAGTAAACCACATAGATGTATTCACTAAGAACCCAAATCCTCTTTTACTTCAGGAGAAGACTAAAACAGGTACTGCCTTCTTAGCAAAGAAAAAAAAGCCACACAAACCTTAAAAGCAGTTGGAGGGAGACAATGGGGAATAGTGGAATAGTGTTTACTGCCGAATTGAACTCCCAGCTCTGCCTTGTGCTTTGTGACACTGAGCCCCTTTCTTCCCCTTTGAGCCTCATCAACAACCTCACAAGAGAATGTGAAGAAACTTGCACAGTAGCTAGTACATAGAGGCTCCCCCAAATGGCAGGAGCTGGCCAGGTAGCTAGACAAAGCCTGAGTGTCCTCGCCAGCTAACTCTACTAGCTGCCTTTGAGCTCTCTTGGACTGTTCAGTTGGTAATCCAGGTGCACATTCAGCTCCCAGGTGACTTGCTACAATGTAGTAAACCAGCAGTTAAGAGTAGGGGAGATGAGCTCATCCTACCCTTCCCTACCTCCTATTCCCCTCTACCTCTGATCTCTCTACAGTGCCCTCTGGGACTCTGCACAGTTTAGTTTAAAACAACTCTTGAGATCCAGTTCTCCCACTTGTCAGAGTAAACCTGCTCCCTTGAGGAATTGGCGCAGATGATCAGTCCATATCTTTATTAAAACCATCTCATTACCATTATGTGTAATTTACTCAGCAAGTTTCAAAATAACCTGTACTGGGGCCTTTATTTAGAGTGCGCAGAAGGATGAGATAGTTCCTATCCTCAGTGACCTCCCACTTAGAATCCCTGCCCACATCGCTTCCATAACCAGTAGGAGTAAGTGACGCTAAGAAGACAGCCTTACCACCTATAGTTCTTGTTTATAAGCCAGTAGAGACTTGCTGTATAAAAATGCCAACAGCCTTTGAAGATAAAGACTTACTCATTCAGGGTTTTAAATTTTTAATTTCCTTAAAATGTCCCAGAGCTATAAGCTTAAAGTCTGATATCAGATGAATGATTAAGATCATAACATCTTTGCTTACTACACCTAGAATTTTGAAGAGTAAGGACTGTTTAAATTCATCTTATATTGTACATGGTCTTTATGTGCCTAATACATAGCTGTTATACCATAATTTAAAAGTCAGGTTTCAGCTGGACATAGTGGTGCACACCTGAAATCCCAGTACTCTCAGAAGGCTGAAGCAGGAGGCCCACTTGAGCTCAAAGATTTGAGGCCAGGCTGTACAATATACTGAGGCTCTGTCTCAAAAACAACAACAAAAAACCCCAGGTTTCTACCACTGTGGTTCTTACTTGCCCTACCCTCTTGCTGGGACAGGCTGGATTTGAGGCCAGGCTGTGCAATATACTGAGGCTCTGTCTCAAAAACAACAAAAAATCCCAGGTTTCTACCACTGTGGTTCTTACCTGCCCTACCCTCTTGGTGGGACAGGCTGACATCACTCTTTCATTTAAGTCAGCCATAGCACACCGCTTGGAATTCTGTAAACATGAACCAACCCTTGTTCTATGTCAGGCCCTGATCTAGCTGCAAAGGCAGAAGTGAATGTGACATGGTTCTTGCCTACAAGGAGCTCATGGTCTAGAGAATGTATATAATAATTGCAGTAATGCTAGGAGAAACTGTAGTGTTGGCTTTCTCTGAGTAAAGGTTCAAATCCTACATCCTAGTAAGTGGTCTTTGAAATGTTTCATCTTCTTGGTTTTTTGTGTGTAAAATGACAGCTCACTCAGTTAATGTTAGGGCCCAGCAAGTACTGCCTGTTAAGCACTTAGCATAAGCTATAGCTCTGATTATTATAGGTGGTTGGTGGTGAGGATGCCCAAGACATGAAGAATTAGGTCAAAGAAGGCTCATGAAACCTAGTCTTCCAGGTTAGGCAGAAGTTCTCCAAAAAGTAAGATGGAAAAAATATGTCTAAAGATAGAAAACGGTGTATAAGAAATCATAGGTAAGCACTGCCCATTTCATTTTTAGAGAGGAGAGATCAGGATGCAGAAGTTATCAGGGCTCTTGTTTCACTACACCAACTAGTTGAGGCAGTGAGGAATCAATGAAAAGTTTTTAGTAGGAAGGTGAACATGCTGTGCCTCAGTAAATCCTCTGTGACAGCATGTGAAGAAGTAACTTGCAGTAGGAGAGGCAGTTGCTATTGCTTGATTCCACTGCTCCCTTGAGCCAGCATAACTAATCCTCAGATTCCCTATGCTTTGCTGGACCCTATCCCAGACTTACAGAACCAGTCTCCAGGCCAGGAATGAAGGAATCTATTGTTGGATTGTGCCAGGTGATTCTGAGTGTGGCTGGGTCTGGGAATTGAGGAATTGAGGAAGCCTAGGGTTTTGTTCAAAGAGTGGGGGTCCCTAGGGAGGAGCTTTTCGATAAGCAGGAATAGAAACAATTTTGGTTTTTAAAAATAAACCTCCCCTCATTTCTCAGTTGTTGCCCTATTAATGATAATCAGTTGCCTGTCAGAATGCTTACCCATGCCTACTATAAGCTGTGGCCTCTGCTAAAAGATTGAAATACAGTAACTCTTGAGACACAGGCTCTGCCCTTGAAAAGTTCACAGCATTGTGAAGACAGATTTCTACTACTAGAATATATGTGATCAGCTCTATTCTAGAGAGATGTAAAAAAGCATTAGGTCATCCCAGGGAAAAGCCCAATTCATTCTGCCTGTGGACTTAGGAAGATGTAACACCCAAACTGAGCCTCACAAGAAGAGAGAGAAGAGGTAGAGGGAATAGCAGGCATGAAGGTGTGATTGCATTATGTGTTTGGGGAAAGGAATGTTTTAATAATCTTTTGTGGCAGGATGTGCAGAAGCAGAAAAGGACTGAAGAGAGTCATACTTGTGTCCTGGGAAGGGCCTGTGTCTGTGCCATTCAGTTCTGTGCCCATACTGCCACCTTTATCCTTCAAATTCTAGGTGCTTCCAGCTAAATAACTACATGCTTATTCATTCTGGAGCAGAACATGGTAGAGACCCGTAATCCATCTCCCCTTCATTCCCTACTCAAGACTCTTAACTCTGTGATTTCCTCCTTTGTTCTGAAATGAATGGACTCTCCACTTTGAAAAGTGATGTGGTAAAATTAAGGAAGAAACAAGGGGCCAGAGGGGTTGCAAACACTGAAGGTTCTTATTAGGAAATTAGAGCTATGTTATATGACATGGACTCAGGGGTTCAAAGAGGCCTTGAAGGTCACTTTTCTTGTCCTCTGTCCTGTACTTCGAGTAATAAATTTGGTTTGGGCAAGTCTCACTTAGTAAGTTTCCCTATCATTTCTTCCAGGGCAGAAGAGGAAAGAAACTAACGGGTATTGAGCACCTACTGTGTGCCAGGCCCAGGCCAGGTACTTTACATAATTTATTTCCTTCTGTCCTCAACTCTGTGAAGTATGGTGTTCTTCCCATTTCATAAATTGAGGAACCTGAGGCTCAAAGAAATTGAGTGATACTCCAAGATCATATTGAAAATGGCGGAACTGGAATTTGAACTCACAACTGTGTCTCCAAAGTTCATGCTCTTTTCCCCCATGAGAAACCTGTGCTAGGGTTAGTGTAGAGAGTGGCAGTTGGCCCAGGGATCCAGGAAAATCAGCAGCTTGGGCCTTTCTTGCACCCAGGAGGTAGGTTCAATGGATGAGTTACCTCCTTAGGGTGGGCAGTCAATAGGGTCAGACAGTTTCTAGTCAGACTGCCTAGTCCTCAACTCATTTTGTACCATCAGAGAAGATTCTCCACCAACAGGCTATTCTACCTCCTAGGAGGGACACGACCTATGTGTGGGAGGTGGGTGAAAGTTCCAGGCCACTCCTGAAGTGGGGTGGGGTCAGCTCCCTGAGAATTGACTGTCAACTTTGATTGCCAGTTTTGGAATGGTCTGAGGTTCTCAGCTCTGATTGCCCTCTCATCAGAGAATCAGCTGATGTAGCCATGCCATGCCTTCAGCATAGCATTTGGTTTGGCAGTGTTTTAAATTCTATCCTTTGTGTTGAACAGCTAATATGTGAGCCAGAAGGGCTTAAAGCATTCATTTATTCAATGAATGCCTGCTGTGTGCCAGGCCTATGTTTCTGGGCATATGTAAATAACCAAGATTTATTCCCTGGCTCCAAAGAGTTCACATTCTACCAGGGGGTTGGGACATACATAAAATACATCTATGGCACAATTGAGAGGTGCAACACTAAATGAATTAGTTCTCCTTAGCCTGGTCCAGCAAAAGTTTCATTGACCTTTGATAGGAATTTGCCACCTAACCCAGTGGTTGACATAAAATAGGAGCTCAGGGAAACATTTGTTGAATGAAGGAAAGAGTGGATGAATGGAAGAGTGAGTGACAGTAACTGGACTGATGAGTTTATCTAGGCTGGGGATTAATCATTTTTTCTGAATCTTAAAGGAAATTTTATCTGCTATTGTTGTCTCCCTGTCACTAAGGCAGGCTCTTGGAGTTTGGTGCCTTGAGAGGAGAGTGATCTCGTGGGTCATTTCAGAATAGAATTTGGAACCTGTTGCAGGGCACCAAGTTATACAGCATGTGTCTTGGGGAAATCCTGTGCAAACATACATGAGCTCTTGAGACTAAAAGGAACCCATGGGAGGAATGAAACCAGATTGAGTGCTGGAAATTTGATCCAACTTCAGAGCAGGCCTTAGTGGCTGCCTGGTGGCCATGGTTATTCCCTAACACTTCCCAAATTGTGAACAGAAAGGCTGAGGTGAACAATTGGGTCATGCCCCCAAAGAGCTATCCAGATAATGCTGCAAACTATCATTGTTGTTAATAATTGGTGTTCCCAAATACACTCACTGTGCCATGCACCCCTAAAAGCTTTACATCAGCAGCTTTCAAAGTGTTTGGTCATGAGACCCCATATACATTCCTAAAATTTATTGAGAATCCCACAGAGCTTTTGTATATAACTATTGATATTTACCAGGTATTAAAGCTGAGAAAGTTTTAAAATATTCGATCACTAAACAGAATGTCGTGACACACACCTCTAATCCCCGCCCTCTGCTGAAGCAGGAGGATTTGAAAGTTTGAACTCAGCCAGGACAACTTGGCAATTTAGTGAGTACTTGTCTCAAAATTTTAAAAAGGGCTGGGGAATGTAGCTCAGTGAGAAGGCCCTGAGTTCAATCCCCAGGTTTTTTGTTGTGTTTTGTTTTGTTTTGTTTTTAGTCACTAATTTATTGGAGATTGTCATGGAACCAGGCACTGTGGTACATGCTGGTAATCCCACCTACTCAGGAGACAAGGAGAATCACAAGTTTGAGGCCAGCCTGGGCAACTTAGTGAAACCCTGTCTCAAAATAAAAAGGAGTGAGAATGTAGTTCAGTGGTAGGGTGCTGGAGATGTAGCTTAGCAGTGGAGTGTGCCCCCAAACCACCTTAGTAGATAAAGAGATTAACGATATTTAAGCTGTTAATAAATAATAATTTATTAATAATAATATTTAAGATGTTAATAAATAATAATTTTTATTAAACAGCTATTTTCTAAAATTAGAAGAATAGCCTTGTTTTCATTTTTGCAAATTTCTTTAATACAATAAAGCTAGAATCTTATATATACTTCTGTTTTCAACTGTTGTAATATATTGTTTTGATTGAAGTATATGAAAAAAATCCTGCCTCACACATATACTGTATATGATTGTAAGAGGGCAGAATGTTTTAGTAACCCTTCCAGATGAGTGTAGATATTCTTGCCATATGGAATCTGAGACAATATTGATAAAGTTTTTATATTCATCTACATTAAAGTCCATTTGAATAATCAGCATATTGTTAAAACACTGTTCTATGATAAACCTTTTACTTTTTTTTTTTTTTTTGGTACTGGGGATCGAACTTGGGTCTTTGCACTTGCGCAGCAGGTGGCGAAACCACTGAGCTAAATCCCCGGCCAATCTTTTACTTTTTAAATGACAAAAATAAATAAAATCCATTGTCCCTCTGGCACTTTGACTAGATCTTTTAACATCTTGCTTTGGTCATTTGGAATATAGAGTCATTGAGTTTTGCAGATATTCCAAATGTTTTCCAGTTTCATATTCCAAATGTTTTCCAGTTTCATTTGATAATACCAAAAGATAACACTTATTGGGCCGGGGATTTAGCTCAGTGGTTTCGCCGCCTGCTGTGCAAGCACAAGGACCCGAGTTCGATCCCCGGCACCAAAAAAAACCAAAACAAAAATAACACTTATTAATGTCATCATGGCCTCAGAAAAGTCTTAGGAAGCTTTCAAACTTGTGCTGATGGATGCATATTTTCCCAAACTTCTAATTTTTGGTTGAAAGCTTTTATTTTATCATTGCCCTACAAATACTGAGAGTTGTTTTCCTTGAAGTGGTGGGTTCATTTTGTTCTTTTATTCGCTTTTTGAGAAACTGTCTGCCAAGACTGTTAGTCATTTTGTAAAGTAAAAATGGTTTCATGAAAAAAAAAATCTTTCCCTTTGATTTTGTCTGTTTATTGAAAAACTAGATTACACTAATTTAGTGCTTCACAGTCCAAGGCAGAAAAATATTAGACCTGGTCAAGTAAGGTAGCAGAAATACTGGTTTTAATGGCACAGATGCCAGCCCCCTGGACTCTGGAATGGCCTTGGTCTAGAGTTCAGTTGGCTTCTTCACTGCTCTGGGGACATGCATGCTGCAACATGGATCCCCCGTGAATAATCTCAAACTCTCCAGAGATTCTGGTTTCACTCAGTGAAGCCAAATTTTCTTGGAGTCTTTTTGAGCAGTTCTAACAGTAGAACTGCTAAAACTTTTTACCCCTTTCATCATCTTTTGCTTAAGGCTAGGTCTATACCCCCATAGACTCTAATAATCCAAGATGATCAAGAACAATTAGTTATTGCCCAGGCCTGCTAGGATTTCAGAATCAGTATCAGCCTTTGTGATGAAAAATGGTTGGATGGTTCATTCAGTGAATACTACTTACCATGTTCTTTGTGTAGGAATACACAAAGATGATAACAGGTGATAAAAGTACAACTTGAGAAAGCAAGTTGAAAGCCTAGGTGGCCTGACTGTTCCAGCATAAGAAGTCAGGTCAGGATTGCCAGAATTTAGAAAATGGCAGGAGATTGCAAACGGATCCTGAGCCAAGAGCTTTTCTCTGCCAAAGCAACAATTTGAAGGAACAGTGGTTTTACTGACCGAATATAACATTTCCAGGGCTTAGGAATCCCACCACCCTCTGGCAGTTAAAGCAAAGATGAAAATGTCTGAAAGAAAAGTTCCTGGCTTCACAGTGCATTGTTCTCAGAGGCAGGCACCAGCACCTAAAATCAAGACATCAGCTTTGAGGGTGGTCCCTCAGAACTGTCTACACCTGGAAGCAGAACTTTACTGAACTTAGGACAATGGGTAAAATGTAGACTTATTAAGAATAAAATGGCTGGGGATAAACCTCAGTGGTGCAGTGCTTGCCTGGCAAGTGTGAGACCCTAAGTTTGATTCCCGGTACAATCAATCAATAAATCAGCCATGGGGCCTAGATAGTGTAGTCATCACCTACTGCCTGGATCCCTTGAGCTAAGTACTTTGTATCTCTTAAGTCGCTTAATCCTGGGGAACTTTATGCAAATCAGGTGATATCTTTGCTTCAGTTAAGAGTTTAATTAGCTTTCCGGGCCCTGTATTTCTTCCTTTACCTGGGAAGATAGCCTATAAAGTGGTTTCCATTGATGGCTAATTCATTTATTTTGTGTATCATTTTGGCTCTAAGGTCACATTTCCATTAGCTGGGGTCATCTCATGACCCCTGAAGAATGCAGTATTTCACTTTTCCACACTTAAAATGGGAACCATTTGGGTGGAAGCCTATGGGCCTTTCTCTATAGGAAGTACAGTAGTAATTCCAAACACTGTCTCACCAAACTCTCCCAGCTATATTGCCATGAGGACACCTCACAGTCCTGATTGAACTAGTACTTGCCCAGTTGAGTCTGTACTCTGAACCAGGCCTTGTGCTGCACTAAGGATCTAGACAGGAATCACACCTAGTGCCTACATCTGGTAGAAAGGAATAAGGGTTCAGGTAAATAAATAGAAGCCACAAGTACTGTTAACCAGGGTTCAATGTTCTAGGGGACTGTGAGGAAAGAAAGGTGAATTGCAAGTGGGGCTCTCTAGAAAGCAAATAATCCCTAGAAAAGGTTGGATTTAAGCTGGGCCTTTAAGCCCTGCCCAGCTGCTTATTAGGAAACACGGGAAGGCATGGGGTTTTGTTGTTTTTTGTTGTTGTTGTTGTTTTTTGGTACTAGGGATTGAACTCGGGTCTTTGCGCTTGCACAGCAGGTGGGGAAACCACTGAACTACCCGGCCCCAAGGAGTTTTAAGCAGAAGATCCCCTTTAGCAAAGGCATGAAGTAGGAAAGTGCAGAGTTTTGCAAATTTAAGGATTGACTTCATGAGTTTGAGAACAGCGATTAAGATGTCTAACAAGTTATTTTATATACAGTGACCATTTTATATATATATATGTATATATATACATATATATACATACATATATATACATACATATATATACAGTGCTCATTGTTCCCATTACTTCTGTCATGTTAACAATTATTACCATATGTTGAGCAAAGTATTGTGTGCCTGGCACTGGACTAGGTACTTTATTACATTTAATTCTCACAGCTGACCATATAAATTGGGACTTAATCCCATTTTATAGATGAACAAATAGAGGGTAAGTAGAATTTGTTCAGCATCATACAGCTGGTGATAGTGACCCAGGATTAACGTCAGAACCACTGTTGTTTTCACTGCACCCCAGAACCCTCCACAAATACTTTGGCACTAAGTACAGTTACATTGGTTGCACACTTAAAATAATTATATGTTCGGTGGAGAGTGGTAACACACACCTGTAATCCCAGAGAGGGATCACAAGTCTGAGCCTAGCCTGGGCAACTTAGGGACTCTGCAAGAATCAGTCTCAAAATTAAAAATAAAAAAGGACTGGAGAATGTAGCTCAGTGAGAAGGCCCTGGATTCAATCCCCAGTACAGAAGAAAAAATATAAAAAAGATAGCTTTGGTTTTAAGAGAAAATACTTTTTGTACATTGCCTTATACATTTGAAATTTTAGCCATATCTACAAAATCATGTAGCGTATATTGCACCTGTTTAGGCCATATAAGGAATTTCAAATATGTAAGGCCTTAGGTTCAATCCCCAGAACCACTGGGGAAAAAAAAAGAATTTCAAAAATAATTTTACTCATACATGATTTTCATCTTATGTAATGACTTTGACTTTAAAACCTAATACCCAGGTGAAATGAAACTATTTAAAATTCCTGAGAAATTCCTGTCCCAGCTGGGCACGGTGGCATAAGCCTATAATCCCAGGACTCAGGAGGCAGAAGCGGGAGAATCACTGTGAGTTCAAGGCCAGCCTGGCCTACGTAGTGAGCTCAAAGCCAACTTGTAGTACATAGCGAGCCCCTGACTCAACAAACAAAAAAAAAGTGCTGTCCTGGTTTTTGCCTTGATGTAGTCTCTATCATACAGGGAAAGAGACTAGTACTTTGGCCTTCATTTACCTAGAGTTACTACAGCACCCTGCAACTGTAGAAAGTTAGTACATTTCTCAGAAAGACCTTGTTTGCCTTAGTTTCTCTGAATACCATCCTTCTCTATTTCCCTTCCACTCTTTCATGAGATACCATCAATGGATTCCTTTTGCAGTTAGCATTAAATACCTGCCTTGCTCACTAAGAAAGTCCCTTGGCAGAGTCTGTTTAGACAGTATCTTTTATGAATTCCACCTGTAAATTTTCTATTTAGTAATTGCTTCCAAATTTCCTGGGGGTTTTTTTTGTTGTTGTTTTGTGTGGTACTGGGGATTGAACTTGGGTCCTTGTGCTTGCAAGGCAGGTGGCAGAACCACTGAGCTAAATCCCCAGCCCTTTCCTGTACTTTCTTAAATGTTTCATTGTGCTCCTGGTACTACTATTTGGTTCCTTTCTTTTTCAAGAAACCAGGGCCCCAAATCAGTGTGATTCTAATGCAGATTTAAGCATACCCTGATGCCAAGGCCTTGTAAGAAAGCAATTTCACATGAGAAAGATGGCAGTATCTGTTTCATTGGTAGGATGAAGGTGATACCCTCTGAAAACATGTTACCCAGTGGAGGGTAAGTTTGGAGGTGTATCAGTTACAAACTGTTGCCAAACAAACCAGCTCAAGGGCTGGGGATTTAGCTCAGTGGTTTCCTCGCCTGCTGCACAAGTGCAAGGACCTGAGTTCAATCCCCGGTACCAAAAAAAACAAAAAAAACAAACCAGCTCAGGATCTAGTGACTTAAAACATTGTTTAATATTTCCCCTGAGACGTTTCCTGACTAAATGTTTCTGCTGATCTGGGTTGATCTCAGTTGGGCTTGATCACATATTTCTGATCAGTTAGCATATTAGCTAAGAAGACTCCGTTTTCTTCACACATCTCACATCTTTGGCAGCCACTTTCACATTTCCAGCAGCTAGCCTGATCACACCTTCAAGGGATGGCAGAGGCACCAGAGTTAGCAAGCCCAGCCATGCAAAGAAACAGGGAGAAATGCATATACACTGTTCAAGCTTAAGCTGGTAGCATGTCTGCTAACATCCTATTGGCCAGAGAAAGTGACAGGGCCACACTCAGTGTCAGGGTGGAAGGGGACTACAGAGTTGCAGCATATAAGAAAGCTGTTAAATGTGGCAATTAAATGCAATTAGTCTTCTAGTCAGGACCCTTCAGTGTGCAAGAAAATCTTCAGACTTATATTACTAGATCAAGTTTGTCCTTTTAGAAGAGAAAAAAAAAGACCAAGTGATGACTGTGTATTAGGCCTATGCTGCTGGCATGCACAGGGCTTGGCACTTTACCTGCTTTTACAGTGATCCTCACAACTCTGCAAGGTAGGTAGAAATCAGAGCTCAGAGAAGTTAAATAACTTGCTCAAGGTCATTCCACTGATATGTAGTCAGGCAGGGATTAGAATGTCCATCTGACCCCCAAAGTCCAGGTTCTTTTCATCATCCTTTACCTCTAAAGAGCACTACGGTATGCCTTACCTTCCTACCAACAGAATTTTCAATTGAGTTGATACTTTCTGACTAGTTCAATAAACCCCTTCTCTAAAACATTGCTGAAATCATAATGGAATTATGCAGCTCTCCAGAAAACCCACATGTCCTCCCAAACTCTCCATGGACTGAAAGCATGCTTTCCTTCCACATGGGAATTGATCTGTAGGCTGCACAGGCAGCCCAAGAATTGTGGCCCCTCCTAGATATGTGGGGTGGGGGGCATCCTCTAACCTATAAAATTCAGGGGCATCAGGGCATTAGAACATCTGAGCATGAGCTTTGGAGTCACATTTGCTGTGGTTCAACCACTCACTAGCTCTGTAACCTTGGGCAACTCATTTAACTTCCTGAAATCTATTTCTTCATCTAAAAGAAAAAAATGGGAATGATAACACCTCATTTGCAGAGCTGTTACAAGGACTAAAACTAAATTATGTTTATAAAGTGCCTAACCCAGTGCCTGGCACGTAATAAGTGGCATTACTAATACTGTTAGCATCATTTCTAAGGAGAGCCCTTCCCCTCCTGGGAAACCCTGTGTCTGTCTGTTGGACAGGTTCCCCTCACCTCCAGCCAGTCTGTACAGACTTGCTGCCTGCTATGTCACCGGGAACGCAAAGGCTGGGAAGAAGGCCCTTCACAAAACGGACTGGTGTTGCAGGGTGAAAAGCTACCCCCTGACTTCATGCCAAAGCTCGTCAAGAATCTCCTAGGCGAGATGCCTCTATGGGTCTGCCAGAGTTGCCGAAAGAGCATGGAGGAAGATGAAAGGCAGACAGGTCAAGAACATGCAGTGGCGGTACGTAACCACTGACAAGGGGGTCCCTGAATTCAGGGTGGCCACATCCCCAGGAAAGGTAGGCTGTTCCTTCCCTGTCTTTTCAGGGGCTTTCCTTGTGACCCTCCCATGTTCAGGTGCTGAGAGAATTCTGGGCTACATTGACAGCCTTGAGGACTTGGGTTAAGATTTCGGGGAAAGAAAAACAGTCTTCAGGCAGCCCTCTGGCCCCTTAGCATAGTCCATGCAGAAGATGAAGGCCTACTCATAGGTTATGGTAGATCATGATCCTGTTTGCTCATGTGACCCTGATACCTTCAGCTCCTTGACACTTTGAAAGGTAAACTTTTTGGCACAGAAGGCACAGGTCAGTTTGAGAGTCTGAAGTGTGCTTCTGTCAGGAGGCCTCCAAGATAGGTGGGAGCCGTGGAAGTCTGCCATTCCATGAGTCACAGTGGCCAGACTTTCCTCATTTCTCCATCTTCTCCAGACCCTCTTTTACCCAGAATCAATTCAGCTTCAGGACTCCCAGCTTAAAGACTTTTCCTCTTGTTGGCTTTTCAGCCAGTGCCCACCTTTACAGGCAGTCTCTGCCCTTTGCAGAGGCTCTCTCAGTATCCACACACTCCATGTGACTGGGAGCATCACAGCTCCCTTTCAGCAAAGACCCTTGCTTCTTGCAGCTGGAGTTGTACTGGTTGTGCTTTGGCCATGGCACAGGGGCCCTCGGGAGAGGGGATGCCTTTGGGGTATGCTGAGGCAGCAGAGGGTCAGCTCTGCTGTTTGACCATGAGCGTTTTTCTTCTCCTTTTCCAGATCTCCTTGTCACACACATCCTGTAAATCACAGTCTTGTGGGGGTGACTCTCATTCCTCTTCGTCTTCCTCTTCATCATCCTCATCATCCTCCTCCTCCTCCTGCCATGGGAACTCAGGGGACTGGGATCCCAGCTCATTCCTGTCAGCACATAAGCTCTCAGGCCTCTGGAACTCCCCACACTCCAGTGGGGCCTTGCCCGGCAGCTCGATTGGGAGCCCTCCTGCCATCCCCGGTGAGTCTGTGACTTTGGGAAGGGAGTTAGAACCCTCGGTATAGACAGCTATGTTTTCCTCTCCACTTTGTTCCAGTGAATCAGAAGATTGGTTATTAAAATATGTAAAAATAGGCCCAGGGATTTAGCTCAGTGTTTCCGCCGCCTACCCCGCAAGCGCAAGGACCCGAGTTCAATCCCCGATACTGAAAAAAAAAAAAAAAAAATGTAAAAATGGAGCTGTACCGGTGGCAGTAGGGCAATCTAGACCTTAACTATCTCTGTGAAATGCCTTCCCCAGGACTCTGAAATTGCACAACTACTGATAAAGTTTTCCCTGAAAGATGTCATTAGCTCCCATAGCTATTCACATTCACAGTGAGCACTGTCTGAGGATCAAGTGGAGTGAGAGGGCCCTTAGGGAAACAGGACATAAGTCACTTAACACCTGCCCTATAGCACCGTGGACAACCGGGCCACTTCAGCTTCTTCAGCCTTCTCGACATCATTTTTTTCACCTGAGAGGTGGTGTAAAAGCACTCCACTTATATCCACAAGAGAGTGGCAGTGTGAAGTGCTATGTTTTTTAGCCAGTTAGCAGCTGTACAAGCCTTCTTTAGACTCAGATAATGTGCAAAGACCCAGAGGAAACCTTTGGGTTGTTGGTTTATTATGTAAATATGATTTACAGGCATAAGTGGAAGAACAGACTTCTTCAAAATGATGCCTTCTCCAGAATTGTGTGATTTAAACAGCAAACAATTCAGTTATCTTGGTCCATGAGTCAAAGGAAGTCATCAAAGTCTTTTCCCACTTTCTGAAATGTGAGGTCTCTCAGGAGCAAGGCAACCCTGGATCCTTGGGTCCACGTGACCAAGAGGCAGAACCTTTCTAGCTGCAGGTCCCTTTCCAGGCCCAAGGAACACCTGTGAATGCTGATCCTGGAGAGACCCAGGGAGGCAGAACACACATCCCTTGCTCATGCCACAGCCAGCATTCTTAGTGCCTTCTCCCTTGGGCCTGAGCTCCTCAAGCTTATCCAGCCAAGCTGCTGCCCACAGATTCCTCTTCAACTCTAAGGTCTCCTGTACTGAGAGGCTGTGCCCTCTGGTCACAGTAACCAGGACCCTAGCAGTGAGTCTCTGGGCTTTCCTTCCCAGATCTGACCCCTTTCTCCCCCCTCTACCCACAGGTGAGGCTTTCCCCATCTCGGAGCACCACCAGCACTCAGACCTCACTGCTCCCCCTAACAGCCCCACTGGCCACCACCCCCAGCCAGCATCTCTGATCCCTTCTCACCCTGGCTCCTTCAGCTCACCACCCCACCCACACCTGATGCCTACCACCCCAGCAGCACCTTTCCCTACCCAGGCTTCAGAATGCCCTGTGGGTGCTGCTGCCACTGCTCCTCACCCCCCAGGGACATGTCAGAGCCCCCGCCTGCCCTCCACCAGCATGCCGCTCCTGAAGATGCCTCCACCATTCTCAGGATGCAGCCACCCCTGCAGCGGGCACTGCAGTGGGCACTGCAGCGGGCCTCTCCTCCCGCCACCGAGCTCTCAGCCACTCCCTAGCACTCACAGGTAAGTAAGCCATGTGAAGAGCACACTCCTTACTCATTGGAACTTAAAGAGTTTTGGAAAACATTGCCAACAGTACTTTGGTAGAAATTAAAGGATAGATTGGGCTGAGATTATGGCTCAGTGGTAGAACTTGTGTTTAGCATGTACAAGGCTCAGGGCTCAATCACTAGCACCAAAAATCAATTAATAAAAGGATAAATTACTGTTTTCATAATTTTTTCTTTTTAAGAGTGCTTGGCTACCATTCTCAAAGCCCTGGGTTCAATCCCCAGTAATCCAAAAAAAGTACCTGTTAACCTTCTTTGACTAACATTCTTTGACTATAATTATGATTATAGTCAAAAAGTTCTTAATAGAAATTTAGCAAACCAAATCTAGCAAATTGTCAGAATGGTAATATAACAAAATGGGGTTCATCTCAAGAATACAGGGTTGGTTTAACATCTGAAAATCAAGGTAATTTACCATATTAAGAGTCTAAAAAGAGCCAAGTGTGTGGTGGCACACACCTGTAATTCTAGCAGGGAGACTGAGGCAGGACCCTGTCTCAAAACTTAAAAATAAAAAAAGGGCTGGGCCAGGGATTTAGCTCAGTGGTGCTGTGGCCTGCCTTGAAAGTGCAAGGTCCTGAGTTTGATCCCCAGTACCAAAAAAATATTTTTTTTTAAAGGGCTGAGGATGTAGGTACAGGAAAGCGTTCAACAGAGTTCAACAAAATTCTTAGCAAACTAGAAATACAAGGAATTTCCTCAACTTGATACAAGTTATCTATGAATAAGCTACAACTAATATAATATTTAATAGTGAAATACTGAATCCTTTAAAAAAATTTATTTTAGGGGCTGGGGATTTAGCTCAGTAGTTCCACCGCCTGCCTCGCAAGTGCAAGGTCCTGAGTTCGATCCCTGGTACCAAAAAAAAAAAAATTATTTTAACTTAGAACAATCCAGGAGTATATAAAGAAGAAAAACTAGCTGAGTGTAGTAACACATGCCTATAATCCTCACTACTTAGGAGTCTGAAGCAGGAGGGTTCCATGTTCATGGCCAGCCTGTGCAACTCAGCAAGACACAAAAATGTGTGTGTGTGTGTGTGTGTGTGTGTGTGTGTATTTGTGTAGTTCTTTTTAAACATCCTATCATATTGTTTCTCCAGTTAAAATTCCTTTAAAAACTTTTCAGGGGCTACATTTTATGCATAATATATCATCTCCTGTTCCTGGACTGGTAAACATTTGCAGTTTTTTAACCAAGAGAAGTAAGGCTATAATTAATATCCTGTAATGGTGTTGGAATGAGGAACTGTGTCCTTCAGGCAATTCCTAGAAGTAAAACTATGTACCAGGAAAATTTATATTAGTAAATATTTGGAAATTGAATTCTTTGAAGTAGGTAGATGTATATTTTTATATGTCAGATCTGCATTTATTATGCATCTATATTTTCCCACTCAAATCCCACCACTCTTGGCAGTTTTTTTTTTCCCTCGTGCACCTTTCACATGGTGTTGATGATGTCTGTACTGGTTTGCATCTTCGAGTTTTTAGCATTACTTCATCTGTATGTTTGTGTTCCCTTGTGGTCATAGTCCTCAGCATTCAAGACTGGAGAATATTAATTGTGGTTCACTTCATTGTTCTCCACTGGCTGAACATTTAGGTCATTCCACCACTTTAACATTATAATGTCTCTAAAGGTGTCTGAAGCCTAAAGTATTTTCCCTCTTTTGGATTTTTCTCCTTGGAATAGAATCCTCAGAATGAAAAAGTTCTCATTTAAAGGGTGTTTGGGTTTTTCATTATTGTTGTGTTCAGGGAGGTTCTTAACATATGTTGAAGAGCTGCTTTCGGGAGGGCACCCCAAATACAGTAGATATAACCACCAATAATTAGAGAGCTGGTGTCTCTGTATTCTCAGGAGCATTGGGTATTTTAGTTTTTCTAACACTCAATTTTGCTAATGTAATAAATGAAGAATGGGGGCCGGGGATTTACCTCAGCGGGACTGTGCCTGCCTCAAAAGCACAAGGTCCTGAGTTCGATCCCTGGTACCCAAAAAAAAGAATGACAAATGGTTGATTTAGAATAAATTTCTGTAAACACTAATAAGTCCTGCTGCTGTCCTTTTCTAATCCTGCCACATGCTAACTCCCTCCCAGCAGCAGGGAGCCCACTGTTGGGCTGCCATGGAGCTGAACCCAGCATGGGGACCAGCTTCTGCAATAGTTCAGCTGATGAAGGCCCAGCCTAGGGCTCAGGCTCTTCCCAGTTCCTATTCTAGGACCTTTTAGCCTAAGTCTTTCTTACCCTGGGAAAATGTTCTATGCTAAATGCCCCCAGTGTTTCTCAAAATCCAAAGCAACACAGGCTTGTGTCCCGATCACCTGGTGGACAGAGCAGTCAGGCACTCTGAGCTTTGATCTCTCTACCATTGCAAAATGGGGAGAATAGAACTTGTAGGACTTTGGGGTTGGTTAGCAATAACATGCTGAGTACAATATTAGGCACAGGTAATAGTTCTTACAGTCTGTGGCCCAGGAGACTCATTTGCTTTTCCTCAGCTCAGTGCTCTGTGGTTAAGGTAGCTCCAGCCATTAGTGCTGGGACCAAACTCAAGTAGTGAGGACCTTAGAAAAAGAAAAGAAAGGCTGGGGATTTATTAGCTCAGTGGTTCTGGCACCTGCCTCACAAGCATAAGGTCCCAAGTTCCATTCCTGGTACCAAAAAAAAAAAAAGGAAACACTGACCTCTTTCTTTTATTTATTTATTTATTTATTTGGTACCGGGGATGGAACTCGGGTCCTTTCACTTTCGCAGTGAAACCACTGAGCTAAATCCCCGGCCCTCTGACCTCTTTCTTGATGGAGAGCCCATCAGCCTGCTAATCAGTTCAGGTGCCTACTTACCAAACACCTGCTGTGTGCAAGGTTGTTATGCTGCATGCTGGGACCCAAAAATAGATGTAGCATAGCCCTTTGCCCTTGAGGAGTGCACAGTCTGATTTAAGTGAAAAGGAGGCAAACAGGCGGAGCATGGTGGCACACACCTGGAATCAATCCCAGTACTCTGGGAGGCTAAGGCAGGAGGATTGAAAGTTTAAGCCCAGCCTAGGCAACTCAGCAAGACCCCATGTCAAAAAAAGGGCTGGGAATAAGAGTCAATTCAAAGGGCCTAGGTTCAATCTCCAATGCTTCAGGGGTTGTGGGGGGAAGCAAACAGTCCACTACAGGAACACATGATAAACAAGCACATAGAGATACATGTCCACTCTGCCCTGAGAAGGCTGTACAAGGCACAAGAAGCAGAGGTGCTGGGAAACCTTTCCAGGGGAGCAGCCTTTGTGATGGCCCATAGGACAATGAGGGTATTGTAAGAAGCAATAATGTGGCAGGTGAAGGGTAGTTAGGCTTCCCTGGGCTCCTACCATGTGTTCCTACTTGCTCCTGCACTGCCCTTCCTCACCTCTGGGTCTCTCTCCCCTGCCCCAGGGACCCCGGGTGCAAGGGGCACAAGTTTGCACACAGTGGCCTGGCCTGCCAGCTGCCCCAGCCCTGCGAGGCAGATGAGGGGCTGGGCGAGGAAGAGGATAGCAGCTCTGAGCGAAGCTCCTGCACCTCATCCTCCACCCACCAGAGAGACGGAAAGTTCTGTGACTGCTGCTACTGTGAGTTCTTCGGCCACAATGCGGTGAGTGAGCCCGCCCAGGCCAGAGAGGGCTGGGGGCCAACCAAGGTGAGCAAAGGAGCACCCTGCTCCCCTGAGACCCCTTGCTCACAGGAGTAATCACTACACTGGGACCCTCTGAGTCCTCACACCTGCATCCACTCACTTGAGCCTCAGCAGATTTATGAGGTTGTGGGTTTTTTGTTTTTTGTTTTTTAACATTTTGCTGCCTTTATTCTTCTCGTGGTTTCTCTTAAGATTGACTTTTTTTCTTCAGGCAAAAGGAAAGGAAGTGGCAGAGAGAAAGCTATGATTCTGATGAGTATGTATACGTGTGTAATCCCAGAGAAGTGAACGCTTGTGCGTGTTGAAGGCAGAGTGGAAGCAGAAAGGCTCTCAGTTCCCCAGGTGTGACAGCCAGCCGAGGGACAGGCCGTGTGCACAGATGGCGCCAGGAAGGAGGCTCAGATCAGAGTACATGCTGTCTCTGCACAGGGGAGAAAGCAGTTCAGAAGTCTCATAAGGTGAAGAAGGGCTGCTGGTTAGGGCACAGCAGCTGAGGATAGGAGGAATGAAAGTAATTCAGCTACTAGTCACCTTTGAGCTAGGTGTTATTATCCTCATTTTAGAGATGACAAAATTGAGGCTCACAAAGACTTGATGACTCGCCCAAGGTCATACAGCTTCTAAGTGACGAAGCCCAGGCTCAAACCTGCTTCCCTGGCTCCCCCATCCGTGTTTGCCCAACTCTGCCCTATTCCTTCCCACTCTCTGCACCTACCGCTGTCTCAGCTCAGAGCCTGGCTGAGGATGAAGCCATTTGGCCATGGTGGCTGATAGTAGAATAGTTGTCTCATTCCTTACCATATACTTGGTGCCTGGTGCCAGTGGGTGGGAGTGCTATGGGCCTTTCAGGCCCAGGGTGTAATGTCAGCACCTCCCCCTCCCCCAGCCACCCGCTGCCCCGACGAGTCGGAATTATACTGAGATCCGGGAGAAGCTCCGCTCAAGGCTGACCAGGCGGAAAGAGGAGCTGCCCATGAAGGGGGGCACCCTGGGCGGGATCCCTGGGGAGCCCGCCGTGGACCACCGAGATGTGGATGAGCTGCTGGAATTCATCAACAGCACGGAGCCCAAAGTCCCCAACAGCGCCAGGGCCGCCAAGCGGGCCCGGCACAAGCTGAAAAAGAAGGTGGGTGTGGGGGGAGCTCAGCACTACTGCCTCTCCTCCCTGAGGAATCCCTCACCTCAAGCCCCAAGACTTCTGGGGCATGAATGGTGCTAGGTGCCAAAGACCTTGGCATGGATCACTGCTCTGGGAAGGTCTGAATGAGTTTGGGAGGCATCAGGATCAGGGAGCCTGGGGGCAAATGATCAGAGGAAACATGTCTTAACCTCAGAAGCTGCTTGCTGGATTCATCTAAGCCAAGGACTTGCGTCACTTGGTCATTTTTTTTTTTTTTTGATACCCAAGATCGAACTCTGGTCCTTGCACTTGCGCAGCAGGCAGTGAAACCGCTGAGCTAAATCCCCGGCCCTTCACTTGATCATTTATTCATTCAGCAATTACTTCTACAAATACTGGGAGTCAAAGTATAATGCAGTTAAGGAGCTCAGTCCAGTGTGGAGATTGACCCAAAACTGGACAAGCATACTTGTATATGACAAGTATCAGGATTGGGGAAGTCCTTCATCCTGCCTGGAAATGGCTTTATAAGAGGCTGACTTGTGAGCTGAGTTATGGGGAGTGAGGACAGATTAATGTGGAGGGTTCTCCCACCAATGGGCACAGCACACCTGACAGGAGCTTGGTAAAGCCAAAGCTGAAAACACCAGAGAAAGCAGGACAGATGGTGGAGGTGAAGGAGGGCCTCCAAGATCAGCTGAAGATCAGCTTTGACTTTAGCCTCCAGGTGAGGGCTTTTCACTGGTGGGTTTCATCAAAAAATGTGCTTAGTTAGATCCATGTTCAGATTGTACTGTGTCAGTGTGGGACATAGATTGAAGAGTGACTGAATTTGATGCTCCAGGAAGGAAAAAATGGGCTAAGGGAGAGGTGATTATGGGTAGGACTAGAACAGAAGAGATGTGCAGAAGAAATAGAAATAATAGACCTGGATAATCTAATGGCAAGATAGAGTCAAGGATGTCTCCCAGGTGGTGACCAGCAAGATGGTATTAACTTTCACAGAGCCAGGATGGCATTTGCAGAAGACTGGATGCAGTTGGGGCACACTGACTCAGAGGTTCCCATGAGACATCCAAGAGGAGACAGAGATATGAGGCTAGGAGTTCCCAGCACAGAGATGTAATTGAAGCCATGGGAATGAACCAGTCCTCAGGGCTGAGAATTGAACCAAAGAGCTATTCTAGGGCAGCCCTGTGGTTGGGTGAGCCCCAGGACTCGATAGCTCATCTCCTGTGGCTTCATTACCTCTTCACCAACCTACTCCCATCTGCATCTGCACAGTGCCACATTCAGGAGCCCAGCATCCAAGGGGATTTGGGTTTGACAGCCAACTAGTTCCAGTTCCTGGGTGGTCAAACAGCCCTAGTGCTCTGGAAGGCAGAGTGATTCTTCATCTCTTTCCAGCCCAAAGGACAACCAAGGATCCTTCTGCAGTTTGACATTAAGCCAAAGGGTCCCACCACTGCCATCAGAAAATGTCTTGCTCCCATCTGGAGTTGCCAACCAGAAGTGTTCAGTGGACTGCAGTGGTCTCTCTGGCCCCTTAGAACAGCAGATCCCAGTTAGATCCCTGGGGGGCACTCTCCTGTAGTTACCAGGCCTGGTGTACTTTTCATAAACATGTAGGCCTAGATGGACCTCTCCCCTTCATTCATGACGTGATCCTTTCATGCCTTCTCTTTGGGGCTAGCTGTCCCTCCAAGTTCAGTTTATACATTTTCTCCTTTGCAGACTTCCTCAGGGAATTCTTCCACTACTCATTACACCTTGCATATTTCTCTAGGCTGCCATTTATCATGCTCTTCCCACTCAATCTGTATCTCACTGTATAGCAACCATCTGCCAAGCCCAGCCTAGAGGCCAGGCTGCAGCCAAACCAGGTAACTCTGCCTTTCCAAATGTAGTCATGGAACCCCAGGAAGGACAACATGCACAGGTGGTCACAGTATCAGGCAGTTGTCATTATCTTTTTAAACAGCAACCTTCTCCCTGAGGTCCCTCCACCTGCTGGACTTAACTACAGCGTGGCTGTCTACCACCTTTCCCAGAAGCCAAGTAGTTATAGTTGCTCATTTTCTTCCACCTTGAAAGATGGATGAAACCAAGTGTCTTCCTGTTCCTTTATCTCACTCTCATCTTTGTGTACTAATCCCTAATCTTTTGAAGCTTTACCCCAGTTCAATATCTACAACCGCTTGGCCACTGCTCTTCGTCCAGTGAATACAGTCACCTCCCCGTTTCTCTTCCCAGGCCAATCTAGCATGAACTTACTTCAATTAAGTATTGGTAAAAGAGCAAGCAAAATGACTCATCATTCAATCACTGTCTTACCAGTACTCATTCTTTACCCTATTTGCCTCTGTCACATCTGCTTAGAAAAACTGCAACCCTGAGAGTCCACCCCAGGCTGCCTGGCCCTTTCTGCACCTTGAAGAAAGCACATGACCAGATCTGTCTGTGATACCCACCTGGGTAGTCTCCTGCTTGCCTAAGCCCCCACCTTGCCTGGCCAGCCTCCTATAGCCCCACATCTCACGTCTCCCTGCTCCTCCCCATGTCCATTCTCACAGCCTCTTTGTCAGACCTCTTCTCTACCTTCCAGGCTCTCCCCAGCATCACACACATACACACACATACACACACACACACACACGTTTTATTTTTGGCAACCTCATTTCCTATTTCCACAAGACAGAAAGCTATTGGACTGACATTCTCCTGACTCTGACCATCCCACCTACAAGCTTTTACCCCCATCATGAGGGAAGGGTTATCCCTTTCCTACCCCAGGCCATATCTCCTTTCTTGCTACTTCACCCCAACACCAGACCACCTGCTCTGGAACTCTGGCCCCTCCTCTGGTCTAGGTCCCATCACATGTCGTTGTATTCCCCTGCTCTCTGTTTTGAAAGCAGACTGTTCCTGGACCTGTAACCTCTCCTTCCCAGCTGTCCAGTCCTTTTCCTCACATAGCAGTCACATTTCTTGGAAAACACTATGTGCCTTCACTGTCTTAACTTCCCCACCTTGTCAGCTCACTGCAGACTGTTCCCCAGTTCTCTGAAGAATGTCACCACTGACTTCTTTGTTCCCAATCTAAATTCTTATTCCCATTTATATTTGTCCAGTGAGCAACCTTTGATATTTTATATGTGCTCTCCTTAGGCTGGGGATTTAGCTCAGTGGTTTCGCCACCTGCTGTGCAAGCACAAGGACCTGAGATCGATCCCTGGTACCAAAAAAAAAATATATATATATATATATATTATATATGTTCTCCTTTACTTTTATTTTTATTTTTTTTTTTGGTACTGGGGATTGAACTCAGAACCTTGTGCTTGCGAGGCAGGTAGTGGCACAACTGAGCTAAATACCTAGCCCTCTCTTTTTCAAACTTTGTCTTTGGCTTCTCTACTGTCAGCCAGGCAGGTCCAGGAAAGGGGTAGTGGGAATGCCATGTTCTGATTTCTGACCTGCCTCTCTGTCTTTCTGTCTCCTTTGTGAGTGCCTAACCCTCCACCAGGTCCTGCCTCTTGAGTACATCTACCTGGGAAAAGAAAGCCATCTAGGTAGTATTTTCTCCCTGTACTTCACACTGAACCCCCTATCACTACTGGGCTCCTCACAGATATCCCACAGGTCCCTCAAACTCAGCTCATCCAAAACAGCCTAACAGTCTGTTATCTTTCACCAAAGAGGTCTGCCTTCCCTTCTTCATTGTCAGTGGTACTACCATCTACCCTATTAGCTGACCTGGACCCCACCCTGGGCACCATCTTTTGGAAGTGACTGAGAGCAATGGGCCTTGGAATTGGACCTCAGTTTGAAGCTCGGCTCTGCCACGCTTGCTGTATGACCTTGGGCAAATCACTTAACCTCTAAGCCTCAGTTTCTTCATCTGTAAAATGAGAATAACAGGAGAACCTAAGTCATAGCTTGTTGTGAGGATGAAATGGAATGGTGCATGGAAATGTTGGGCAGGTTGCCTGACACATGAATGCTTGGTCCATGGCGGCTGCTGTAGCTGGTACAGTGTTTGGCAATGTTTTTTGAATGCATCTTATTCTCTTTCCCCACCCAAAATCAAAAGTCCTCCTCATGCTACTTTCCCCAACAGCTCAAACAAGTCCATTTCTCTCTACTTATTGCCTCTATTTTCCAAGCAGTCAGTGGCTAAACATTGTCACAAACCCAGTTTCTAACACAGCCAAGAGGGCTTATTAGGATCCAGCTCCTCTTAGCTTGCCAGCTTCATCTATCAGCCTCTCCTTTCTGACGTGCCTCCTTATTCACAGCCTGCCCACCCAGCAACAACAACAAAAACAAAAACTAGGCTCAAAAAAAAAAAAGGCTCCAGTTATACCCTTGAATGGTTTGCATTTCCAAGTGATATGTTTTCCCATTTCCCAGCCTTTACACTTGCTATTCCTTCCCTCTAAATGGTCCTTGTCTCACTTTCTCAGGATAATTCTGCTTACCCTTCACTGTCTCCTCTGGGAAGCACTCCCTAATGACCCAAGCACATGAGCACCTTGTGCTTTCTTCCCCGTATGGCACTTGTCACTGTCACTCTGAATTAAAACAGCTTGTTTGCATGTCTGTCTCCCTCAGCAGAGACTATATCTTAAAGTCAGCTGCACTCCCAGAGCCTAGCCCACTGCCTCACATTCAATGAGCAGTAAAATGCTTGGCAAATAGAAGTGAAAACTGTAGCGACTTCTGAAGATCATCCCTGATGGATTGTCCCAACTCTGCCATTTATTAGCCATAAGCCAGTTCTGTATTCTTCCCAGACTTGAGGTTCCTCATCTGTAAATTGAGGATCATGGTGCAACAAGGACAGTGGTAAGGACTAAATGAGACAACCTAAGGAAGGAGCCAGGCTTATGGTATGTAGCAGATTATACATTTCTCTGCTTTCTCCTTCTCTTCCTTCCAAAGTTTATATTTTGCCCTTCACACCAGTACTTTTTTAGACTTTTTTTATTTAGCAGCAACTTTTTTCTGTAAATGAAATCTTCCATGGAACCCCAATCCATAACAACTAGAAGCAAAGCTCTGCTGATATAAGGAGAAGCAAGGTGAAGTGCCTTTTGGGCCCTCAGCCATCCCTACAGCCTGAGCTGGAAATACTGTTGCTCACCTGAGCCCCCACTGCCAAGGCACAGCCTTTGGCACAGACCCTTCCAGCCATTCTCAGAGCTGTGAGATAGAGACATTTTTTTGTCTTCCTAAGTTACAAACTGGGAAATTAGGTTCAGAGAGAATAAGCGATTTGTCCAAGGTCCCCAAGGCACGGCTGACCTTAGTCAGTTGTAAAACCAGTGTTCAAAAGAGATGAAAGGATAAATACCTGCTGGCTAGGGCACAGGGTCACACTGTAAGTTGACTCTGAGGTGGTAGAAAGCCCTCTTTTCTCTCCCCAGATTTCTTTTCCTGTTTCTCCCCCTTTCTTCCCAAATCAACTGGAAATATGTAAGGTGGTGGGAGTCATTCAGCACCTAGTGCTCTACCACCATGTCCTTCCCAAAGATCTGGCACCTCTCTCCTGTCTGCCTCTAAAGGCCTTGTTGGCCTGCTGATGCCTGTGACTCAGGCCACAGATTGATTTCCATTCTCTGGATCCAGGTCTGTTGGAGACCCTGACTGGCAGTATCTAACCTATGAGAGCCTCCCAGCCCTCACCTAGGCGAGGAGGCTGCTTTTACATCTTGCAATGAGGGCCAGGTCTAGCTGTCCATTTTATACCATGGGGCACACTTCAAGTGTGACCTCAATTACTTAAGGCCAGCTGAGCAATGAGAGGCCTTTCTACAGGAAGGTTGCCCTCTTCAGTAATACCCAGATACATCATCAAGAGGCTACATGCATTCCCAGCCACTCACAGCAGTCTCATCCACTGGTAACAGTCTTTTTTTTTTGGTACCGGGGATCGAACTCGGGTCCTTGCACTTGCAAGGCAGGCGACGGAACCACTGGGCTAAATCCCTGGCCCAACAGTCTTAATAGCCCCCATATCTTCCTTCTGGTAAGATTGCATAATATGGCTTTTCTCTTGCCACCTGCAGAATTGAAGAGACTGCCTCTACAGCATCCATGTTCCCAGCGTACACACCACTTTGGTGTTCACTCTAGAATTATTGTCCCCACTTCACAGATAAGTTGACTGGTGAATGAGTAAATTATGCAGGAACACCCAAGCTTAGTACCAAGAAGCAGATCCTATCCCCTTGACTCATAACATTTTTAAGCTGTAGGACTAACACTGAGGCCCAGGATGAACAAGCTGCAAAAACCCTACCTTCTAGGGGCACATCTGTACCTTTGTTCAATACTGGTACTTGTCTGATTACGTCACCCTCATTCCTGCAAGATGGTTGAGCAGGGAAGGATCATGAGACTGCCTCCAGCAAGTTAGTGGCAAAGCTGGGCCCCAGGCTGATATGTCAGGTGTCATTTTTTGCCTGACAGCTGACAGGCCCTGCTGAAACTACCTCTTGTATTGACAGGAAAAAGAGAAATTGGCAGCAGAAGCTCTGAAGCAGGGGAATCGTGTTTCTGGAAGCCAAGAGCCAAGGCCTGCCAGGGAAAGGCTATTGGAGTGGCCTGACCGAGAACTGGATCGGGTTAACAGCTTCCTGAGCAGCCGTCTGCAAGAGATCAAGAATACTGTCAAGGACTCTATCCGTGCCAGCTTCAGCGTGTGTGAGCTCAGCATGGACAGCAATGGCTTCTCTAAGGAGGTAGCTGCCAAGCCTGAGCCCCAGACTCTACCCCCCTCAAACCTCAATGGCTCCTCAGAGCAACGGCCTGACATCAACCTTGACCTGTCCCCTTTGACTTTGGGCTCCTCCCAGAGCCACACATTACAAGCTGCAGGCGAGCCAGCCCCACCATGGGCAGAAATGAGCGGCCCCCACCCACCATGGACAGAGGTGAGGGGCCCCCCTCCTGGTATCATCCCTGAGAATGGGCTAGTGAGGAGACTCAACACTGTGCCCAACCTGTCCCGGGTAATTTGGGTCAAGACACCCAAGCCAGGCAACCCTAGCTCTGAGGAGCCAAGTCCAAAGGAGGTCCCAAGTTGCAAGCAGGAGCTCCCTGAGCCTATGGCCACAGGTGGAAAGCCACGGAAGGGCAAAAGACAGGGCAGTCAGGCCAAGAAGAGTGAGGCAAGCCTGGCCCCCCAACCCCCAGCCAGCATAGAGGCCCCCAGTACCAAGAGCCAGATGTCTGGTCCCAAGCAGCCAGCCAAGGGCCCAGAGCCTCCCAAAGTGGGCAGCTGCACTGAAGCTGAAGAGGGTAGCCGGGGAAGCCAGCCAGGACCAGGTTGGGCTGATAGCCCCAAAACTGAGAAGGAGAAGGGCAGCTCCTGGAGGAACTGGCCAGCTGAGGCCAAAGTACGACCTCCAGAGCAGGAGTCTGTGCAGCCCCCAGGCCCATCAAGGCCACAGAGCTTGCCCCAGGGCAAGGGCCGCAGTCGCCGGAGCCGAAACAAGCAGGAGAAATCAGCCTCCTCGTTGGGTGAGTGCACCAGGAACCAAGTGGCTGGCCCCTCACCGCAACCAGGCCATGGGGTGGAGGGCAGTCCTCTCGTGTGGGAAGTGCTGCCTCCAGAGCATGACCCCAGAGGCCTGGCCACGGGCACTGAGCCCTCCTGGCTGTGTCTTCCTAGACGATGTGTTCCTGCCCAAGGACATGGATGGGGTGGAGATGGATGAAACTGACCGCGAGGTGGAGTACTTCAAGAGGTATGTGTGGGCTGTCTGCTCTTCAGCTCCATGAGGGAGCCCATGCCCAAGCTCCGTATTATATCTGGGGCCTCAAAATGACCTGTTTCCTCAGCCCTGACCCCTTGGGAGACCCCACCACCTTTCAGGCCCTGCCATACAGCCTGTCTGCTCAAATCCAGAGAGCCATTTGGCAAGATGGAGCATCTGGGAAGATTTAAAGCATGGGGAGAAAGAACCAGGGCTTTCTTCAGCTTTATTCACTTGCACTTACTCTGTTTTGCTTGGGCTAGGCTCTTGGAACAGTGTAGACCAGTGATAGCAAACCTTTTAGAGCTTGCAATAATACAAACAGCCTGCTGTGGCACATGTACCGTAGGTTCACCACCACTGGTCTAGACAGAAAAAGATCCAGAAATATGCAGCTTGGTATTAATGCCATTAGAACCATAAAAGCATGATGGAGCTGTGGCATGGGAGGCTCAAAGGAGAACTCCAAACCAAGCTGGGGGCAGGGACGGCACAGGCTAGGAGGCCTTCCTGGGATGGGTAATACCCAAGAAGACTCAGTGAGCCAGGTAAAGCCAGAAAGTATTTGTGACAGTAGGGCCACCATGTACAAAGGTCTTAGAGTAAAAGAAGCAGAGCATACTTAGGGAACAGAAGCCAGCCCAGTACAGCTAGAGAGTGGTACAAGGTGAGCAGGGAACTTGTATCTCAGGGCAGTCTCATGGTCTTCATTGTCCCTTGGCCTCATGGGCAGTGGTTCCTAAACCAGCAAAGCTCCCATAACTGCTAAACCCTTTCACTGGGGAACGACAGAAGTTGTAGTCAGTTTATTTAGTTTTGGGGTTTTGTTTCCTTTGCTGGAGATTGAACTCAGAGCCTTCACACTGAGCTACATCCCTAGCCCTTTTTTCTTTTTGAGATGGGGTCTTACTAAGTTGCCCAGGAGGGACTCATACTTGCAATCTTCCTGCCATAGCCTCCCAAGCCACTGGGATTATAGGTATGTGCCACCACACCCAGCACCAGCTGGTTTCTTAGCAGGACAATGTCTAGAAGAAGAGTGCGCTGAAGAAGGGAGAGAGTCTAATTGCGCTTCTCCCATGTCTCCTAAAACCAACAGGTTCTGTTTGGATTCTGCAAAGCAAACTCGTCAGAAAGTTGCTGTGAACTGGACCAACTTCAGCCTCAAGAAAACCACTCCCAGCACTGCCCAGTAAGGTAAAGACCCCAGGTGTTACCGGAACCTATCCCCATGTGCAACAAGATCATTCTCTGCTCTCAATCAAGGGAGTTGGACTTCAGTCTTGACAGCCCTGTTGCCTCACCTCTACAGTACCCGCACAGCAAACTACAGTGTCCGAAGGTCTGAGCCCCATCTCTTCCTGAGCCATTCACCCTAGGTCTCTGTCCTTCAGCCACTCCTCTCTGCTAGGCCTTCCTGAACCCTTCTGCCCATGTTCCTGAAAAACCCTTCCTGGGCTGCCATCCCTGGGCTATCAGTATGAGGGCTCAACCTCTTAAGCAGCTGCATCCCACAGTACCCATGCAGCAGTAGGCCCCGTGGGGCTGCCCCCACCACTCATATGATCATGCTGGGGCTTGCATCCCACTTGCTTAGCCTGATTCCTCCATGCAGAGTGCCTTCCAGTTGAAAAAAAGTGAAAGTGGCCCACCCCAAGGAAGCAGTGAGGGGCAGATGAGATAGAGCAAGGCTTTGTAGGTCATTTAAACACAAAGGAGCTGGGCATGGTGACACAAGCCTGTAGTCCCAGCACTTGGGAGGCTGAGTTAGGGGGATTGCCGTGAGTTTGAGGCCAGTGTGTGAGAAAGCAGTCCTGGCACAGACTGAGGACCCAGCTCAGGCTGTGTCCCTGGAGTCTGAATGCAGAAGTGGCCTCCTCCAGTACTTGCTAGTGGGAAAACAGATGCCAGCAGCCATTTAGGTCTGGCCTGGAAGGATGTGCTACAGCAGGGGTCCTAGGCACCTCAAGGATTGTCCTACATGGTGCCAGAACCCCAGGACTGGGGCTCTGTCCCCCAACAGGATCTTAACCTTCCTCTGGTAGAAGTAATCCAGGAAATCCCTTCAGCCTTTTCAGCCCAAGGAACAAAAATATGAGCCAGCCATTTCTGCCTCCATAGGAACCCAGAGTTGGCATGGGGAAGATGGAGCACAACCCATTGCTCACTGTGATCCTGCTCTGCTGTTCTTTCTCAACCTTCTTTAGGGCAAGCTTCTTCAGGGCATCCTGAGGCCCCAACTGCCAGCTGAAGGTCTATAGTTTCTCCCTCCGTATGCCCTGCCCACCTGCCCTGACCCTTGCTGCTCCTTCCATCCTGGACCAACCAAAAGCTGAATGGATGCCACGCTGTGCAGGGGTGCCTCAGGACCTCTGCTGAGCTGCTTCCTGGTGCTACGCAGCCTCCATACTCAGAGACTGGGCTGGCCTATGGGCCAGGGGCTGATGGTACTGCTGGCCCAACATTGCTCTCTTTGTGTTCAGTTTTATTGTTGTTGTTTTTTTTCAATTCTTTACTTTTGATACTGTGAAGATCTTTCATGCTGAAAGATAAAGCAACATTTGGACACAGAGTTGGTGTGATTCTGATTTGCTGGCCTGGGCAGGGAATGGGGCAAGGGATGTACTCAGAAGCATTGGCTCCAACTTACTAGTCGCTAACCTTATGAAGCAGATACTATATTTCACCAGCTTGGCATAGTTTTCTATTTCATGTTCAGGATTCCTCAGAACAATCTTAAGCCACAGTTAACCCATTTTGTAGATTAGGAAACTAAGGTTAAAACAGAAAAGTGACTCAATTGAACTTCATCTGACCAAGTAGGGCTGACCACAGGCCCATATTTCTCTGGTATGTGTCCTTTGCTCCTATTGGGTCTGAAGCAGCTCTTTCCCAACATTGTATTGGTTTCCTTCTGCACAATCTGGGTAACCTGCAGCAGGATGGATGTGAGAAGAGATCTGGGAAAGGTTCTGAGGCCTGCATGGACAGTGGACCCGAAGCTTGGCTGATTGAGGCTCTTCACACTGACTTAAGGTAGTGGCAGTTGAGGGTAAACTTAAGTTTTTATAAATGGTCTGATTTCCCAGTGGGAATGGGACATGGAGCCTAAGGATTTGAGTTAAGACAACAATGAAACAGTCTAAAACCTCAAGCAAACTACCTCACCTCCCCAATGGAACTAGTTTGTAAATTCAGGTTTTAATATAAGGGGTTTGCTAAGAATGCCTTAAGTCCAAACTGCCTCCCCTCAGTAGTTTTCTCTACTAAAACCAACTCAAATTGAGCTTATTTGGGGAATGTCATATCTAGAGAATTACAGCCACAGAGCCTTGTATAGGACATTATGAGCAGAAACAGCACTATCCTTGCGTTTTGCCCACCCAGGATGAGCCCAGCCATGTGGGTGTCAGCTTCCTCCTCTGAAGAATACACAACATTGACCAAGGCTCACAATTCCTAGTTCCTGGCCTATCCCAGTCCCCAAGTGTGACCACTTCCCTACAAACCCTTTATCAGCTGTGTTCCTCTCTCCATTTACACCAGGTTCCTACAGTCCAGCTGAATTGGTACAGCTATCTCAAATTCTGCTTCATTATGCCAAAGGTGCAGGTCTGATCAAGCACCCCATTTACCAACAGAGAAGGATTCCTTTTTTTTTTTTTTTTTGAGTCTGTGTATGGCCTCAAACTCACAGCAATCCTGTCAGCCTCCCATGTGATGGGATTACAGTGCACTACCACACCTTGTCCTACTCTTATTAAGCGTGCGATTGAGCCAGGAGTGGTGGCATAGGCCTGTAATCCCAGTACTCAGGAGGCTGACAAGAGGATCATTTGGAGTTAAAGGCCAGCCTAAACTACATAAGGAGACCCTATCTCAAGAAAACAAACATACGAATGAAAAGAACACTTTCCTTCCTCTTCAGAAGCCCTCAATGAAGTTAAATTTACATATTCTGAGAGTCACTACCCTGCATGCTGTGGGCCCAATCTCACCTTTAGCTCTAGCCACACCACCCATTCCGCTTTGTTCCGAGGAATGTGTGTACTTGCACATCGACAGACCTTTATTCCTGCTGCACCCGCAGAAAGCCTCTCCTCCACTCCATGCGCGGAGATTCCCACACTTTTCTGGAAGCTCAGAACCAATTTCTAAGCCGCCTGTGGTTTCTCAGGCGATCACACTGAGCTCTACTTAATTTACAATAATCGTTCATTTGTATACAGGGCCTCAGCTTAAAAACACTGTCATCAGTATTTTATTTATCCCTTACCACTCTGGCCATAGACGTTGTCTCACACAAATGAGACCAATCAGAATGGTGGTAGATGTTGAGTCATTCATTCTGCAAGCCCCACCCCCACCCGTGCCCAGGAACACCGACCGAGACACCGCAGGAATCCCGGTTTGCCGGGTCTAGGATCTCCCAGCCACAAGAGGTCGTAGTGTCCTCCTGCTTTGGGTACCTAGCAGGCAGCCCTTCCCGTCCACTTGCAATCATCGGTCTCCAAGGAGTCTTCCTGTGACAGGGCCAGCCTAGAGCCTTTTGCGCATGCTCCACATTCTCCAGCAACCCACAATGCAGTACGGGGCACCTTAGCCTGCACCTCTGGCAACAGCCGCGCAGCCGCAAACTCAACTCAAGAAGTTTATCCCTCTGCGCGATCCGTCACGCCGACGTCGTTGCTAGATGCCGACATCTGTTTCTTCGCGTCTGATTGGATTTCACTCAAAGATAGGGCGTGGATATGGTCGTGGAATCCTTGCGTTACGGTAAAGTATGGAGGAGTCGGAACCCGAAAAAAAGGTGGGAGAAAGGTTGGGGCCTGCGCAGGTGGGGATCCGGAATGAAGGCAGCGGGGTCGGGGCCTGATTCCTGTATATCTCCAGCGAGCTCGCATCGACGAGACGACTGCTGCAGGAAGCCGCTCCGAGGCTGAGGATGAGGACAACGAAGAATACGTACCCTATGTGCCGTTGCGACAACGCCGGCAATTACTGGTGAGCCCAGAGCGCCCGACGAATATGGGGGCGTGGTCACTGGGGCTTAATTGGATGGGAGGTGGCCCTGGTCTTCAGGGAGATGGGGGCGATCTGAGAAGAGTCAATACCTCGGAGCGTGTCCTGGAGGCAAATGAAGGACTGACGACCTAATCTGAGGGTTAAGGCACAAGACCCTCACCCAAAGCCAAGATTATGAGCAGGGACCCGATGCCCCGCTCTTCTGTCGGGCTGTACTCTGAGGGATACTGTGGGAACTCAGCTGCAGAAGCTGCTGCAGCGAAGACGAAAGGGAGCTGCGGAAGAGGAACAACAGGACTGCGGCAGCGAACCCCGGGGAGATGAAGACGACATCCCGCTGGGCCCTCAATCCAATGTCAGCCTCCTGGATCAGCACCAGCACCTCAAAGAGAAGGCTGAAGGTGAGTTGGGCAGCAATGCTTGAGTGGGAAGGGAGAAGCCAAGCCTTATTGTCTGTGTCGATGTCTACCAGTCTCTGGTGTCTTTACCTTCTTTTCTCAGCCCGAAAGGAGTCTGCAAAGGAGAAACAGTTGAAAGAAGAAGAGAAGATTCTGGAGAGTGTGGCTGAGGGCCGAGGTATTGTTCCAGCCAGGGCAATGAGGAGGTGAACTAAACTGCCTCCCCCTAACCCCAGGCATGTTATATATCAAGGGACCTGGTCTCTGGGAAGCGGGAGCCAGCCCTAAGCTATGTCTATCTTCTCAGCCTTGATGTCAGTGAAGGAGATGGCCAAGGGCATCACATATGATGACCCAATCAAAACCAGGTATGCCTTCCTAGTCTGGGTAGTCACCTTTACTCAAGATGACATACAGCTGAGATTAGCAGTGCTCAGGGCTTCTGTGGACCCCTATTGTTCACTCACAGTTGGACTCCTCCCCGTTATGTCCTGAGCATGTCTGAAGAAAGACACGAGCGCGTACGGAAGAAGTACCACATCCTGGTGGAAGGAGATGGCATCCCACCACCCATCAAGAGCTTCAAGGAAATGAAGTTTCCTGCAGGTACCTGGGAATAGGGAGAGACACCACACTTTTAAAATCAAGCCTTTGTAGTATTCTAGTTCTCATTTAGCTCAGCAGCATGACCATTGGGTCCAGCCAATGAGAATGCCAGGATTTGAGGTGGAGTCTCTTTAGGCTTACCTTTCAATTGCCGTAGCCATATATGTTCAGTGTCCTCTGCTATTACAAAGCTTCACTGGCAAAGTGTTATTGGATTTAGACAGACCTGGATGTGAAACCAGGATTCACCAAGCCATGGGTATTATACAAGTTTACCTTTCTTTCCATCCTTCTCTGTTCCCAAGCCTTCATTTTATCACTTGTAACTTGTGAGGAAGTGCTAATTTCACAGGTGCTAGGCCTCTGGTAAAGTACCTGTTGTTTTCCACAGCCATCCTTCGAGGCCTGAAGAAGAAAGGCATCCTCCACCCGACACCCATCCAGATCCAGGGCATCCCCACCATGTGAGTATGGACTCAGACCTTGGGTACCTGGGGAGGGTGGTGACAGGGACAGAAAATGGTCAGGTGTCTGACTAGAAAAGTAGTTGCTCTCTTCTGCTGGGTCTCAGATTGTCCTCTCCCAACAGTCTCTCTGGCCGGGACATGATTGGTATCGCCTTCACTGGGTCAGGCAAGACACTTGTGTTCACGCTGCCTGTCATCATGTTCTGCCTGGAACAAGAGAAGCGGTTGCCTTTCTCTAAGCGAGAGGGGCCCTATGGACTCATCATCTGCCCCTCAGTAAGATAGCCTATCTTGGAGGGCAGGGGAGAGACTGGGGCTGCCTTCTGGTGTCAGCCTTTTCCCTGTTCTACAGCGGGAACTGGCCCGGCAGACCCATGGCATTCTGGAATATTACTGCCGCCTGCTACAGGAAGACAGTTCACCCCTCTTGCGCTGTGCTCTCTGCATTGGGGGCATGTCTGTCAAAGAGCAGATGGAGACCATCCGACAGTGAGTACAGGCAACCCTGCCCCATGGGCCTCCCCAACTCCTATAGAGAAGCTAGAAGTCCCTTTAGTCACTCCCTGGACTCTCATAGAGGCTTCCTGTGGGCTAAGCCTACACAGCCCCCAAAGTATAATGGGGAAGTGGGTTGGGTGAGATAGAGGGAAATAGTCACATACTGTGGGAACACAGCAGAGAGAATGGCCCATCCTCTTGGGACATCTGAGAGGAAAGAAGTTAGAGAAGGTTTTACAGGGAAGGTGATATTTGAATTTTGAAGAGGGGCAGATCTAGACATGGGCTAGATCCCAAAGGAATCCATGTCCTGTCCACCCAATGCAGTCCCCCACAGCTATCACCAGATGCCCGGGATGAGGTCTTGGGATCACAGAAGCATTCCCAGGCTCAGGAAAGATGCAGACCCAAAAAAGATGAAGTCAGTATGCCAGGAAAGCCCAGCTAGGGCTACAAAGAGACTGCAGAACCAGGCACAGGTTGTATACCTTTAATTACAGCACTCGGAAGGCCATGGCAGGAAGATCTTCAGTTTGAGGCTAGCCTGAAGTGCATAGCAAGACCTTTTCTCCAAAATAAGAAGGGAGGAGTGCAGGCTGTGGGAGCCCATAGTGAAGCCTCTGCAGAGGTTCAGGATAGCTCTCCTGGGGCAAGAGGAGTGACCTGGGAGGTGAAGGAATGTGTGCCAGGCCAAGTGCTGTCCAGAAAGCTGCATCCCCTTCTTCCAGGGGATAAATGTATACTTAGGGCAGGATAAGGGGGTGACAAAGAGAGGACAGGGGAACAGGCAGGAAGAAGGAAGAACAGCAGAACGGAGGTAGGATATGGCCTCAGTAGATGATGGGCAGGTGGCTCCAACCTCAGGGTCTCTCTTTGGTCCTCAGTGGTGTGCACATGATGGTGGCCACGCCTGGGCGCCTCATGGATTTACTACAAAAGAAGATGGTCAGCCTAGACATCTGTCGATACCTGGCCTTGGATGAGGCTGACCGCATGATCGACATGGGCTTTGAGGGTGACATCCGTACTATCTTCTCCTACTTCAAGGTGCCCATCCTCCATACTGCCCCCTTCCCCATCCATACCTCATTCATCATGGAGGACCCTGAGCCCCTATGCTGTCTCACCCTCTGCTCTTACTTTGGGTGGGCTGCGACCCAGCTGCTCAGTGTTCCCAGACCTATCTCCTACTTACCTTTGCCCCAGCCCCACCTAGCCCTGTGTGCCCTGGGTCCAAGCTCCTATCCTTCCTCAGGGCCAGCGGCAAACTCTACTCTTCAGTGCCACCATGCCAAAGAAGATTCAGAACTTTGCCAAGAGTGCCCTAGTAAAGCCTGTCACTATCAATGTGGGCCGTGCCGGGGCTGCAAGCCTGGATGTCATACAGGCAAGTCAGCACTCTAGCCTCTCAGGCTCCCTTGAAGCTGATTGGAACAAGGGCTTCATCTTGTGGGCCCTGGGGGTTTTATTGAAACCTTCTGGCCTTTAGCCAGAGCCATTCGTAGTATGTCCAGCCCTTGGTGCCAAGAAGTTCCTGGTCAACTTCTGGCCCAGATTAGTGGCTCAGCCTCTTTAACAGGGCCCTGGCTTGTGAACCTAACCTTGGGATCATTTGACCTGGCCCCTTTGGTGGCAGGAGGTGGAATATGTGAAGGAAGAAGCTAAGATGGTGTACCTGCTCGAGTGCCTACAGAAGACACCTCCACCTGTGAGTGCAGCCAGTCCAGCCTGGGGCCACAGTCCCCAGGACAGGGGAGAGGGTGGTAGGGACAGTGTTGCACGAAAGTCAAGGTGATGCCCTGTGACTGGAATCACCCTTCCTGGACAGGTGCTCATCTTTGCAGAGAAGAAGGCAGACGTAGACGCCATCCATGAGTACCTGCTGCTCAAGGGAGTCGAGGCTGTGGCCATCCATGGGGGCAAAGGTGAAGGCAGTGCACACATTGACATGGACTCTTTTGCCATGGCAGCCCCTCATCTAATCCCTCTTGCCTGGCCAGCCTGCCTCTACTCTGTAAATTCCTGCTATACCTGTAAGACCTCCTACCTGACCCTTTCTAGACCAGGAGGAACGGACCAAGGCCATTGAAGCATTTCGGGAGGGCAAAAAAGATGTCTTAGTGGCCACAGATGTTGCCTCCAAGGGCTTGGACTTCCCTGCCATCCAGCACGTCATCAATTATGACATGCCTGAGGAAATTGAGAATTACGGTAGGGAGCTTGGGAGATGAAGGGTGTGAGCTAGAAAGGAGAGGGGCAAGGCTCAGTCCCCAGCCCCTGGGCAGTGGGCCAGAGGTTCTATCCTTCTCTCTGCAGTGCATCGGATTGGCCGTACTGGACGCTCAGGAAACACTGGCATTGCCACCACCTTCATCAACAAGGCTTGTGGTGAGTCTTTCACCAGAGCCACCTCAGCTGTTCCCCAGGTCCTCTTCCTATTACCACCCAGGTTTGGACCACAGGGCCCAGAGTGGGGCCTAATGGTTCCCTACTACCCTTCCCCCCTTCCCCTTCCAGATGAGTCAGTGCTGATGGACCTCAAGGCCCTACTTTTAGAGGCAAAACAGAAGGTACCACCAGTGTTGCAAGTACTGCACTGCGGGGACGAGTCCATGCTGGATATCGGAGGTAAGTGCCAAGCAGGAGGCTCAAGTCCTCCCTGGTGGTGGGGTCAAGTCGCGGGCAGCCATGGAGATAGGCAGATGGGAATACCACAAAACGAGTCCATACTAGACAGCGGTGACCTGGGGGGCCCTACTTAGGGGAGCCTGGATCTGTGACCTTGCTAACCCTGCTTCTATCCCTTCAGGAGAGCGTGGCTGTGCCTTCTGTGGGGGTCTTGGCCATCGGATCACTGACTGTCCCAAACTTGAGGCCATGCAGACCAAGCAAGTTAGCAACATCGGCCGAAAGGACTACCTGGCCCACAGCTCTATGGACTTCTGAGCTATCTCTCTTCCCTCCTTCCCTCCAAGAGGCCTCACTCCCTGGACTTCTGCCACAACCAGCTGCCTGGACAAGAAGCCAGCATTCTCAGCCCAGCTGGCCTGGGCTGCTCACTGTGTTCCCCAGAATTACTATTTTTGTGCAAACCCCTCTCCCCTCCAATGCCATTAAAGCACAGGCCCCTCTGTCTCACCCCCAGTCCTCCCTCTGTGTCTCAACCCATCTGCCCTCTGGTTCCTGGGCAGGCCTCACCCATGGCCCTCTAGCACTCTTCTGAGCCAAGGTATCAGCATCTCCCACTGCTACCAGCACCCAGCCTGCTGGTACTTGGCTTTGAAAGGAGCTGCCTAGCCAATGGCCCACTCTGGGGACTCAGAACATTCCTCACTGTTGCTGGGATTTATGGCTCAAGGAGGACCCACAGTAGGATGCCATGGGGAAATGGTTGGGTCTCTGGCCTCCTGGCTGGCTGTCATATCCCCCAGCTTTGCTCTTCCTGATGGTTGTGTGATGCTCGGAGGGCTTCTTGGATCTCTTGGGAGGCTCCTTCCTGCCTCAGGTCCCTGCTTACTACCTGCATGCAGAGGCTTCCAGTTGGAAACTCAGTTTCATTCACTGAGAAGATGCAGATACCACAGGAATGCCATTCAGGCCACATTCCCACTGACCTGCTCTGTTCTGTTTTTTGCTGGGTTGTAAAGACTCAGACAAGCCAGGCAGAGATCTGCCTAGGAAGCCGAGGATAAGTGGGAGACTCAAATATGAGGAAACATGGGCAACCTTCACAAGACGGCCAGCAGATCTGCCAGGACCTCCGTATCTGTGAGAGACAGGCAGAGGCACAACACAGCAGTGGCTGTGTGTCAAGTTCCTCTGTGCCAGGACCTTCATATGTAAGGCCACATGCTTATCCAGCAGGACAGCAGTTACTCAAGTCATGTTTGTCACTTGGTTTGTGGCCTCAGGCAAGTTACTTAATTTTTCTGAGTCTTGATTTCCTCATTGTTGAAATGGCAATGAGAATGCCATGTTGTCTGAGACTGTTTTAGTTGTTTGGGCCACAGGAGCCAGAGTCAGGTGCGAGAAGGCCTTTAGAAGACATTTCCTGGTCGAATATGTGATCCTAAAACAGCATTCATTAGCCTGGTTACATATTCTTCCCCAGAGGTGGCACTGAATGAGACATGAGACTTTGCAGAATTCAGATATTCAGACTCAGACACAGCCACAATACCAGCCTCCAGCAAGGATAGGCAGAAAAAACAGTTGACAGGAAGCGGCTTTAAAAGAGCATGTGACCTCTTGGGAGCCCACTAGGGACCTGCCACCCATACTCACATGGCCAGAGTCACTCCGGTGTGGATCTCATGTGGACTGCTGCCTGGCCTGGGGTGTGTTGTGAAGGCCACTGTGCTCTCAGGCAGTGTGGATTTCAAGGACAGCCTCCAGGAGGGAGAGGTACCCGTGTACCCAAGCAGCACAGGGGTAAGGTGTGTACTGTAGGGCCTGTCTGTGGGGAATGAGGCTCAGGGAAGTGGAGGCCACAACACAGGCCCCTGAGTGCTGGGCTGAGGATCCCAGTTTAGACCCAAGGAAGGATAGAAGCAGGGTTGGCTTGGGGTTGGAGAGAGCCAGGTCAGCCCAGGTGTGGCAGGAGCTGCAAAGAAGAAGAGGAGCAAATGAACATTAGAAATACTTTAGGTAGAACCAGAGATCAGGTAGACGCTCAGACAGGTCTAGTGACAAACCAAAGCTGGGTGGAAGAGCCAGGAGTTTGGCAGTCTGAGAGGAGGACCCTAGGGTGAGAGCAAGGGCATGAAGTGCCAGGCCCTAGGATGCACAGCTGCCTGAGATGGGGGAAGGGTCAGAGCTCATGACTCAGGGCAGCCAGCCTGTGGTCAGATGCTCATACCCAGCTGACCCAGGTGCCAGCACAGGGGTCGTTGCCCTCAGAAGGCCTGTGGCTCCTGCCAAGCAGGTGTAGGCACCCTGGGCCAAGCAGAATCCCCAGGAAGAATGTGCTACCCCTCCCATCCCTTAACTGAAGATTGGGCTCCCCTCCCCCAGCCCAGCAGCTGCCTCTCTGGACAGAAGGAGGGGGAAGTGGCCAGAAGGGGAAGTATGAGTGTTCCTATCCAGCCTGTTACCAGTCTCCTCAGGTCTTCGCAACAGTGGGCCTCTGGCTGGCCGTGGCCATGGAGCTTGCAGAGACTCCCATCAAGGATGGCATCCTCTACCAGCAGCACATCAAGTTTGGCAAGGTGGGGACCCCTGGCTGTCACGCAGCCGCCCTAGCTCCAGAAAGCACCTAGACCTGGTAGAATGGGAAGGGAGACTGGGATGGGTAGTAGAACTCAGGGATTTGGGAACAAACAGAACTTAGTTCTTGGCCTGAAAGGGTTGGGACTGAACAGGCCTTTGTAAGAACGGTTGCCTTGTTTAAAGAAGGAAAATGTGAAATAAGGGAAGGGTCTGAGAATCAAAACCTCCAAGCAGGTCAGAGCTGAACAGCCTTAGATGGGTTCCAATAGTGGCACTGAGGCCCTTAGGAAGGACCAGGGGCTGAGCTGGAGGAGCTGCACACTGCAGACAAGGGAGGAAAAGAGGTGGGAGGTCACTTCTCTGGCAGCAGGCCCTGCACCCCCACAGCTCAGCTGCAGCTGCTGCCCAGGCAGATCAACGGTCTGTTTCCTTTGCTACAACTTATTTGCATGTTTCCCTCCTTGCCAGAATAAGGCTGTGGCCTCCTTCCCACCCAGCCATGGCCCAACTGTCCTTTTCTTGAGGAGTAGAAGTAGGAACCAACATAACAGCAATATCAAGTGACTTTCCCAGCCATTACCTACTTTACAGACATAATCCAGTGGAAGCCCTACCTTCATTTTCTTATGACCTTTTTGAGAGTCAAGGACACTGGTACTATGGAAATCAGTTAGGAAAGGGGGAAAAAAGGGAAATGGTGGATGGGATTTGAACCCAGGGCTGACTGACACTAACCATAGACTCTAAACCTCTGCCTGGCCTCCTTCTCTGATACCCTAAGGACTTGGGGGGAGGCAAGGCCCATCTGGGTGGTGAGGAACAATTGTTAAGCTTGTGCCAAGCAGAGTGGCAGGAGTATCTGCCACCCAAGGGTCTTCTCTCCTACCCTCTTCTCCTGCAGAAGTCCTGGCGGAAGGTATGGGCTCTGCTGTATGCAGGAAGCCCATCAGGTGTGGCACGGTTGGAAAGCTGGGATGTCCGGGATGGAACCCTGGGGCCAGCAGGTGACAGATCAGCGGGGCCTGGACGACGTGGAGAGCGGCGGGGGGTCATCCGCCTGGCTGATTGTGTGTCTGTGCTGCCGGCTGATGGTGAGAGTTGTCCCCGGGACACTGGTGCCTTCCTGCTCACCACCACCGAGCGCAGCCACCTGCTGGCTGCACAGCACCGCCAGTCCTGGATGGGCCCCATCTGCCAGCTGGCCTTCCCGGTGAGTGCAGGGCGGGGCCCGGAGGAACCACCTCACCCCACACTTGCTCATCTCCTTGCTCACTCACATCCTGTCACTATGTATGCATTGCCACATACCTGCACAGCTAGGAAATGGCCCAGAAACCCATAGAGTGAGTCTCAGCTGGCCATGCATGCTACAGTGCACACAAAATGGGGGAACATTAGGCAGAAGAGCCAAAGAAGGCCTTTCTGACAGGACAGTGGGCCTGAGTCCTCACTGACATTTCAGAGCCCACAAGCTGGGCATAGTCGTGAATACCTATAATCCCAGCACTCTGGGAGGCTAAGGCAGGAGGATCACAAGTTTGAGCCCAACCTGGGCAACTTAATGATTTAGCAAGAAAGACCCTATCTCACAAAAAAAGAAAACTAAAAAAGCTTAGCTAGGGATGTAGCTCAGGGCAAAGGCCCTGGGTTCAATTGCCAGTATCACATGAGGAGGGAGGCTTACCAGGGAAAGGTCTAAGGAAAGTATATCCTAGACAGTAAGAACAGAGAGGGAAGCAAGCATAAGGAAAGGCCCTGCAGGAGGAGAAAGTGTGGTGTGCTCAAGGGGGAGATAGAAGCCTGGCATGGTCAAAGGGAAAGGAGCAAGAGAAGCACAGGAGGCAGCAAAGTTGAGGGAGAGCCAACTGAAACTGCCTTCAGCCACGTGTGAGGTTTGGGATTTTATTCTGAGTCAGAGGAGACTTCAGAAGGTTTAAACCAGATGCTCATGGTGGTAAAGGCTCACATGGTCTGTGATAAACCAAAATGAAACAAGTCTGGTGGTTCCTCAAAAAGTTAATCATGGAGTTACCATATGACCCAGCAATTCAACTGCTCAGTATATACCCAAGAGAATTCAAACAGGTGTTTACACAAAGCTTGTACATGAATGTTTGTGGCAGCAGTATTCACAGTTGTAAAGAGGTAGAAGTAACCCAAATGGCCATCCCCTGATGAATGCCTATCCATCCAACAGAATATCATTTGGCCGTTAGAAGGAATGAAGTATTGGTATATGCTACAACATGGATGGACCATTTTTTGTTTTTTGTTTTGTTTTGTTCTGTTGTTGGTTTTTTTGTTTTGTTTTGTTTTGTTTTGTTTTTGTACCAGAGATTGAACTCAGGACCTTGCGCTTGGGAGGCAGGCACCGCACTGAGCTAAGTCCCTGGCCTGTTGTTGCTTTTGAGACAGGGTCTTACTAATTTGAAGTTACCCTAGCTGGACTCAAACTTGCAAATCCTCTTGCCTCAGCCTCCTAGAGTGCTGGGATTATAGGTGTACACCACCATGCCCAGCATAAACCTTCAATATATTATGTTAAGTGAAAAGCCAGACACAAAAGGCTATATAATGTATGATTCCATTTACAGGGAATGTCCAGAATAGGCAAATTTAGAAAGCAGATTCGTTGTTAGAGGCTTCAGGGGAGAGAAATGGGGAATAACTGCTAACAGGTACAGGGTTTCCACTTGGGGTGATGAAAAAGTTCTGGAACTAGGTAGTGGTGATGGCCACTCAATGGGTAACTATACTAGAAACTACTGAGTTATATGCTTTAAAATAGCAGGGTTTGAGCTGGATATGGTGGCGCATGCCTGTAACCCCATCACTTAGGAGGCTGAGGCAGGAGGATTGCCATGAGTTTGAGGCCAACCTGGGCTACGTGGTGAGTTCAGACCCCATCTGAACTATATAGCAAGACCCTGCCTCAAAAAACAAAACAACAACAACAACAACAACAACAACAACAACAAAGCTGGGCTACAAAAAAAAAAAAAAAAATGAAAGTTGGGCTGGGGATTTAGCTCAGTGGCTCCGCCACCTGCCTCGCAAGGGCAAGGTCCTGAGTTCGATCTCTGGTACCAAAAAAAAAAAAAAAGCTGGCCTTGGTGACTCATGCTTGTAATCCCAGCTGTTCAGGAGACTGAGGCAGGAGGATCTCAAATTTAAGACAACTTAGTGAGACCCTGTCTCAAAATATTAAAAAAAGGTAGAGGGGGCCCTGTGTTCAAACCCCAGTACCACAAACAAAAAGGATAAATTTTATGTTTCTGTATATTGTATCACATTTTAAAAGTTTTCAATAAAAAAGAAAATGACCAGGATGTAGGAGAAAAGGGAGGGAGCAGTTGCACTGGACCCTACCCATGCTCCCATGGGCCGAGGTGGTCATGGTGGAGGTGTGAGTCAGAAAGAACCTCAGGGTGTACTTGCTGCATGACCAGATGTGGAGTGAAGAACAGGGAAGGCCAAGGGATACTCACACGTAGTTGTGTGGGATGGGGAAAGAAGCCTGGACATTGCTCTCCAGCCAGTTCACTTCCGTGTGCTGCCCCTAAGGCCCCTGCCCCTTCCCTGTTCCAAGCTGTCAGAGAATTGCATGACTCAGCCTGGTCCCCAGTCAGCTCAGGAGACATCCTTCTTAGTACGCAGTAGTTTCCAGCTGTTAGACACCAAGGGAGAGTCCCTTCCCCAGCCCAGGGAGAGTCCAGTGGGAATTGCTGCCCATCATGAAGGTGAGGAAAGAGTCTTACTGGGGTTCCTGGAGTCATACATGTGTCAGGGCAGAATTCAGATTGGCCCAGGTCCCTGAATGCCCTTGCTTGCCATGTAGTCCTGGATTGCTAACCCCATGGAAGGCAGGGGGAGCAGAGCTGGGTGGGCCCTAACCTCTGACTTGAGCCCATTCCCCAGGGTACCAGGGATTGCTCCTCAGGACCAGCGGAGGCTGAGTGTCCCAAGAAGGGCCTCGTCCCCATGGAAGAAAACTCCATCTACTCCTCCTGGCAGGAAGGTGAGTCTATGGGAGGCCTGGGAACAGCCTCAGCCTAACTACTCCTAGGGCTGACATCTTTGGGAGACTGACACCTTCCTTCTTGCCTGCAGTGAGCGAGTTTCCTGTGGTGGTGCAGAAGACTGAGGCTGCCACTCGCTGCCAGCTGAAGGGTTCCTACCTCTTGGCGCTGGGCCAGGATGCCATCCAGCTGAGGGAGAATTCCAGCTCCCAGGTCCTCTACAGCTGGCCCTACCACTTCCTGCGGAAGTTTGGCTCTGACAAGGTGAGGTGGGAGTGGCTGCCTCACTCCAGCAGGTCCCAGGGAAGGACCATGGGAGGCTGGTGTCCTGGCTCTACAGACACTGATCCCCCACCTGTGTCACCTGTGTCCAGGGCATGTTTTCCTTTGAGGCTGGCCGCCGCTGCGACTCAGGTGAGGGCCTCTTTGCCTTCAGCAGCTCACGTGCCCCTGACATGTGTGGGGCAGTGGCTGTTGCCATTGCCCGCCAACGGGAACGGCTGCCTGAGCTGGCAGCTCCCCAACCTTGCCCCTTGCCTCGGGCCACTTCCATGCCTTCCCTGGAGCCCCCTGGAGAACTTTGGGAGGTGTCTCCGGGGCCCGAGCTACCCACCTCCAGGAGAGCACATGTGGCTGAGCACGGGCCCCAGAGCCTGCCACTCCTACTGGACCCCATTCCCAAAGAGCCAGCCTCCGAGCTCTATGCCTCAGTGCGCAAGTGGACCAGTGGGCCCCCAGCCACCACCGAGCACCTCTATGAAAACCTGTGCATGCTGGAATCCATCCCAGGGCTGCCCAACGGGGGCTCCAAGCCCCAAGAAGGCCCCTCTGGTAGCCTTAGCCCCTTGGTCAGCCCCATCTCCTACAGCAGCGAGGACCTGAGCTGGCCTGTCCCACCTCATGACAGCAGCCTGGAGGCCCAGTACCGGCGGCTGCTAGAACTGGAGCTGGACGAGGCAGGCAGCACTAGCCGCTCGGGCCCACAGGCAGGCTTCAAGGCCAAGCTCGTGACGCTGCTGAGTCGTGAGCGGAGGAAGGGTCCTGCCCCCTGTGACCGGCCTTGAAGGCCTGTGCAGTGGCAGCAGGAGGACAGAGGTGCTCTCCCGACAGTAGGAGGATTGACATCCACAAACACATCCCCGGTTCTCTCTAGCCTGCAGAGACAAAGCAGGCAGCCTGGAGAGGACCCACACCCTGCCCTGGCCACCCTGCAGTGTACAGTGTACAGATTTGCCAATAATAAAGCCTTCCAGCTCCTTTTGAGTTCTATCTGTGGCCCACAGTCCATACCCTCAGCTCAGCTCCTGGCATCTGTGCAACAAACACCAGTGCTGTGTGCTGGGCTCCAGGAACACAGATGACCGGGGCCTGACTTTGGCCACCAGGGAGTTTAAATCCACGAGAGCATGCAGATGAGATGCAGGTAAGTTTTGCTTTGTGTAGTTCTGGGCAGCAGGAATGACACGAATAGTCAGGCCGAGGGAGACTTGCTGGTGGGAGATGTGCGCTTGGCACTGAGTCAAGGGCAGGCAGGAATTTAACAACCAGGCAGTAGGCTCGGGCTGAGGGTGGGCACATGTGGGCCAGAGGATGATGGTGCCAGAGGTGCCCTGCAGCCCTTGGTGAGCAGGATCTCATCCTCAGGGAAGAGACATGGCAAGAGTTGGGAAGGAACAACCGGAGGGTGACTCTGAGGGAGCAAAGCTGGAGACCAAGCCGGGTGTGGTGACACACACCTGGAATCCCAGCACTGAGGGAAGCTGAGGCAGGAGGATTACAAGTTCATCTTCTCTGGGCAATTTAGTGAGCCTGCCTCAAAATCTAAAAACAAAATCTTTAATAAAGGGCTGGGAGCCGGGTGTGGTGGGCCTGCCTATAATCCCAGCACTCAGGAGGCTGATGCAGGAGGATAGACACAAATTCAAGGCCAGCCTGGGCTACACAGTGAGTTCAAGACCAGCCTAAATGCTGGGTGTAGTGGTGCACACCGATAATCCCAGCACTTGGGAGGCAGAGGCTGGAGGATTGCCACAAGTTCAAGGCACACCTGCACTACATAGTGAGACCCTGTCTCAACAAAAAAACAAACAGAACAAAAGAGACCAGCCTAACTGATGCAGCAAGACCCTGTCTCATAGATAGATATAGATACAGATAGATACATAGATAGATAGATAGATGATAGGACTGGGGATGTAGCTCACTTGTAGAGTCCCCCTGAGTTCAGCCTCTAATATCTTAAAAAATTTTAAAAAAACAAACAAACTGGAAACCAAAACACCCAAGCTAGGAGGATGTAATGGGGGGTGGGAGCTGGTGGATGGTGGATGGCAGGTGGAAGGAATTTCAAAGATGCCAAACAATCTACAGACACTTCTGGGGAACCTCAGGCCTCATTTTTCTCAACTGTAAAGGAGAAACATAAAGTTACATGGGACTAGGGGTGTAGCTCAGTGGTAGACCACATGCTCAGCATGCTAGGTTTGACGCCTACACTGAAAAAAAAAAAATCAAATTACATATTAGGTCCATTTCTTCTTTAGAATTTTATTTGTGCCTACCCCATGCCAGGCACTCAAGGACACAGCTATATTCAAGACAGCCTCAGTCCTGTATCCAGGAGAAGACCTTCCAGAGGGAGATAAGCAAGCTTCTTGAAGACTTTATTGCCTGCTTTTACCTCTTCTCTGCTACTCTGGCCACCATCCTTGGGGGCAGCCACGTGAACAGTGGGATGGAGTCTCCAAGGATCTAGCCTCTTAGTCATTTGACCCCAATTGTATCTCAGCTGCCACACCCCTAGCCTATTCTGAACCTTGTCTTCACGACAGTGACGCACAGATCTTATTTCCACGTATCCCCCCCTAGCCACTTCCTCTCCTCCCAGCTTACTTCCTCCAGGATAGCCAATACTTCCTTTCCAGCCGCATCCACCTACAGTGATCTTTTTCTCACTGTCTGTGAGCCCCTGTCTAACTTTCATCCTTTTTCCATTTTGGTTCTGTGCTCCATTCACAGAGTTGCTCTTCAATCTCCTGTCTCCTTTCATTTTATTTGACTGGCAAAGCCCCCAGCCCCAGGTGAACCTAGCTCTCCTCCGTGCCTGCTTTTGACACCTTCCAACAGCCAGAGAAGTTCACACTAGGAGGCTGGCTGTGTCCTCTCCCACAATGTCATCGCAAACTTCAGACAGCTAGGCTCTCACACTGCCCACAGAGCCTGGGTCCACAGTGACAGCTTTTCTCTCCCAAAATCTTCAAATCCTCTCCTCTCTGTCCCTACCACTCTCACCTAGCAGATGAAGTGGGCAAAAAACAGTCAACAGAAATGAACTATCCCCACCTTTAATCTGCCACCACCACCTACAAAGGTGCCAGGATGTGCACCTATCTTGCAAAAGAAGCGTCTGTCCCCAGCATGTACTCTGACTCCGGCTCTTCTCACCTCAAAGCCTGGCCAACCTAGATGTCTCCTTCCTCTTCTGGACTCATTCATGCTATCATCGTCATCATTTCCAGCCACACAAACATGCTGTATAATTTCACCTCTTGAAATCTCGGGCCGTGGATTTAGCTCAGTGGTTCCGCCGCCTGCCTCCCAAGCACAAGGTCCTGAGTTTGATCCCTCGTACCAAAAAAAAAAGAAAAAAGAAAAGAAATCTCTGGCAGGCGTGGTGGCGCATGCTTTCATTTCACTTCAGCTACCTTGTCTGTTCTGATTCCCAATGAAACTTCTCAAGAGTTGTTGATTACACCCACTTCCACTTTTTCCCCTTTAACCTACTCCAGTCCTCACCTTGTTCCCACCACTCCATTACATGGCTCTTACCACCAACCAACTTGCTTCTCCAAGCAAAGTCACCCTAGACTTCCTGAGCTTCTCAGCAGCATTCCATACCCCTTGGGGCACGTGGTCTTCATTGGATTTTCCTCCTATCTTCCTGTCACACAGTTTCTCCTTCCCACCCTCTTTTTTCTTTTTTCAGTCATGGGGATTGATCCCAGGGCACATTCTAGGCAAATGCTTTACCAGTGAGGTACTGCCCAGCCCCCAGCTTCTTGCTGTTTTCTCTGTTAGCATTCTACTTGTTCTAGCCTTAGATATAATGTAGCTCAAGCCTGGCTACAGGTAGAACTACCTGGAAGCCCTCAAAACTTGCCCATGTCTAGGCCTACACTCAGGGTCTCTGATTTCATTAGTCTGGCTGCATGGGGCTGGGGCATCAGTGTTTACTTTTTCCCTTTCTGGGTGATTCTAGTATGCATACCATTCCAAATTGAGAACTACTGCAAGCCAATCATGTATCCAGATTTCATAGGTCCTCAGAACACTGGCAACCCCCAAAGGTATATCTACAGAGCAGACCTCTTCCCTGAGCTTCAGATTTAAGAATGCAACTGAAGAGCTGGGTGTAGTACTGACACATACCTGTAATCCCAGCACTTTCGAGGCTGAGGCAGGAAGACAAGTTGGAGGCCAGGCTGGGTTACACCAGATGTTCGAAGCCAACCTAAACTATAGAGCGAGACCCTGTCTCAAAAAAAAAAAAAAATCTGGACCAGGGATTTAGCTCAGTGGTGCTGCTGCCTGCCTCACAAGCACAAGGTCCCGAGTTCGATCCCCAGTACCAAAATAAAAAAAAGAACACACACACACAAATCTGTATTTTTAGAAGGCATCTCCAGGGCTGGGGCTTTAGCTCAATGGTAGAGCACTTTCCCGGCATGCATGAGGCTCTGGGTTCAATCTCCAATACTACAAAAAAATAAAAGGCATTTCTAAATTTAATGGGTAATGACTGCACAGGAACTACCACAAAGAATCAACAACTGGGATCTCATCATATTAAAAATCTTTTGCACAAGATAAACCACCAACAGAGTGAAGAGCCAACCTACAGTGTGGAAAAAATGTTTACCAGCTGTTCCTCAGACAAAGGACTAATATCTAGAATAAAGAACTCAAAAAAAATGTGTAACTTCACTGATTATATGAGAAATGCCAATTAAAACAATTCTGAGATTCCATCTCACTCCAGAAAGAATGGCTGCTATCAAGAAATCAACCAATAACAAATGCTGGAGGGGCTGTGGGGCAAAAGGCACACTTCTCCACTGTTGGTGGGAGTGCAGACTGGTGCAACTACTGTGGAAATCAATGTGGAGATTCCTCAAAAAATTAAAACTAGAGGTTCCATTTGACCCAACTATTTCCCTTCTTGGTATCTTCCCCAAAGAATTAAAAGCAACATACCACAACAATGTATGCACACCCATGTTTATAGTGCCACAATTTATAATAGCTAAATCTTGGAAACAGCCCAAATGCCCATCAACCAACAAATGGATAAAGAAGATGTGGTTAAAAAAAATAATAACAAAAATTTAGAAAAAGAAGATGTGGGTTTTTTATACAATGGAGTGCTACTCTGCCATAAAGGATGAGCTTGGGCCAGGGATGTAGCTCAGCGGCACAGCACTTGCCTGGCAAGTGTGAGGTCCTGAGTTCAATCCCTGCTACCAAAAAAAAAGAAGAAGAAGGGTGAGCTTGAGACATTTATAGCTAAATGGATGCACCTTGAGACCATACTCTTAAGTGACATAAATCAGATATGCATGTTTAAATACAGCATTGTTTCTTGGGTGTGAGGAACTGAAAGCGGAAATAAAGACCAAAATGTATAATACATATTGGGAAATGGGAAGAAAATGTTCAAATGGGAAGGGAAACAAGGGAGTGGGGAGGGAGAACAGAAGGAAGGGACAAGAAAAAGAAGTAAGAATGGAAGAAGAAATGGAAACAAAGCTTTTGCGTATAGGGAGGGGAGGGGAGGGAAGATTGAGGGGAGGTGGGGAATGGGAAAAAAGAGGTAGGAGCTATCATATACAGGTGCAAATTCCCTGTGATGAGTGTTATCATTATGTATGCGTAAAATGTACCCATAAATGTTTTGCTATTAAAAAATTAAAAATGAATTTAATGGGTAAAAGGAGGTTGAAGGAGGTGGGTGCCCTGCAGTGCCACATGGACAAAGCCCAAAAGGATGTTGGAGCCCTGGGGAGGGAGATTTTAGCATTATTCATGAAATCACTTCCAGACAGGTAACATTTCCTCAAGATTGTTCAGACAGCCATGGAGTAAGCTCAGGCCAAGAGGCTCCCAGACAGGGAGATAACTGCAGGAGAGACCCTCCTTTCCACACTGGCAAGTCCAAGCCTAGGCCTTGTTGGGGTTTTTTTTGGGGGGGGGGTGTTTTTTTGTTTTCTTTCTCTTTTTTTTTGGTACCAGGGTTCGAACTCGGGTCCTTGTGCTTGCAAGGCAGGCGGTGGAACCACTAAGCTAAATCCCTGGTGGGGGTAGGGGGGTATGGTTTTTTTGAGACAGTCTTGCTATATAGTTCAGGCTGGCCTTGAACTCATGATGCAGCCCAGGCTGGCCTCAAACTCACCGCAATCCTCCTGCCTCAGCCTCCTAGTGCTGGGTTTGAGGCGTCCACCCCTGGCCAAGACCAGGATTTGAAGCTTCAGTGAGTCTCACGATACCCTGGAGATTACCCACAGAGTCATGGTCATGACCAGAACTAAAGCCCCTAATCTAAGATTCTTCAACCTTAATCTTCACCCAAATCCAAGTTTCTTTGTCCTTGGTGATTTCTGTAACGTTCCAATCAGAATGTGGGGAGAAGAGTCCTTGGAAACCTCCAGGACTCTGGAGGCTTCACCCTGGAGCTGAAGGAGTCCTGACCACCAGGGGGCAGTGTGGTCTAGATCAGGTCCTGTTCCGTTCTCAATGGCTGCCTCTGCCAGGAGGATCCCTGGCTCCACTCAGGCCTCAGGCCCTCAACCTGAGGGTCCTCTCTGCTGGAAGACTGCCAAGACACCCCCTCACCTACCCAGGCGCAATAGCTTCTTTTGTTTATTTGCTGTTTCACTTTTGTAATCTTTCCTTCCTTCTTTCATTTGTTCATCCACATCCACTATGTGCAGGCACTGAGGAAACAGTAATAGAGAGAGACAAGCTTCTAAGCTCATAGGACTGACATTCTTTTATTTTTCACCTAGTATTGGTGATTGAATCCAGGGCCTTCGCACTGAATTATACCCCTGGCCCTTTTTTTTTTTTTTTTTTTGAGACGGTCCCACTACGTCACTAAGTTGCCCAAGCTGGGCTTGAACTTGTGACCCTCCTGCCTCACCTCCTGAGTAGCTAGGATTACAAGCATGTGTCACTGTGCCTGGCTGGTCGTTCCTTGGTTTTGTGTAGCTCTTAAGGATTTTAATTTTAAATGCAGTTCTAAAAGCTGAGTTGTAATTTTATTATCTTGAGGTGTAATTTCTGTTTTTAAAACATCAGTTTGACTGCTGCTTGGAGAAGACTGAAGGGGACAAAGGGGATAGCAGGGAAACCTGATAGGAGACTGTGGTTGGGACAATGCTGGCAGCAGTGATTAGATGTGAAAACATGGATTGAACTCAGGACCTTGCACTTGCAAGGCAGACGGCAGCACCACTGAGCTAAATCCCCGGCCCTAGATGTGAAAACATTTTGAAGATAGAATTTGCAGTATCTGGGAGATAATAGAAATGAAATCGGTAGGATAACCTTATAGTTTCTGCTGAGCTAGTTGAATGGCTGGTGGCACCACTGACTGAGCTGAAGGAGTTAAGGAAAATCACAAGATTGAATTGGGACATGTGATTCTAGATATTTAGCAGATATCTAGACAGACTATTAAACACTGGACTCTAGAGTTTTGGGGCAAGATCGAGGCTGTCCATATCACTTGGGAGTCCTTGGCATATAAGTGTTATTGGAAGCCACAGGAGAGTATGAGGCTCAGGGAATGAGTACAGAGATCAAGTGGCCAAGACCAGAGGCAGATGAGGGAAGGGCTGCCTAGGGCGTTGGAGGAGAGTCCAGTAAAGCAGAAGGAGCCTGAAAGTCAGGGGTAAAGGGTGATTCCAAAAGAGGAAGTGGTCAACCTGGACCAGCAGGACTCCTAGGCATGAAACCTGAGGGCCACCACTGATTTGATGCAGACCTTGAGAAGAGAGCATGCAGAGGACTAGTGTGGACAAGAGCTTGACTAAAGTGAACGAGAGAACAGGAGGAAGGCAAGCGGAAACAAGAGAGAGACAATTAGAGAGGATGTCTTCAAAGATGACAATTACAGGGATTTGGATAGTGAGGAAAACGATGCGGTGGGTGGGTATATGATGATGGTGGAGAGGGGAGAACAGCAACGACCATGAGGCGACAGGGCCACTAAGCTACAGGGATGGACGCCTCATCACTCACCCAAACATGGGACAAACACTCCCACCCCCAGCCCCCTTCCACCTCCCATAGCTGCCCAGGCTGAGGCTGGGGTCAAAGTGAGGACTCGGAGGGGAACGCCCACTGCAGTCTCCTTCCGCAGTGTGCATTAAGGGACACAGTCGATCCCAACAGTGTGTGCTGGGCGCTGGGCTGGGGTCGCAGGGATGCTGGGACTTCACACGTGCTAAGTACGTGTTCTACCACTGAGATACACGCCTAGCCCCCGGAAACCTAACCTGAAACTCCTCAGTCCCCTTCAACTTTTCCCACCACGACTTGCCGCGAATTTAGAAATTCTAAAGTCTCCGACGGCTGCGCCTGCCATTCCGACTCTTACAACGACCCTGAGTAAAGGATATTACTGTATTTTCCCATTTTTCCGAAGAGAAACTAAGGAAAGAGACAAATCCGAGCCTAGCTGGTTTCAACATGCCGCCTTCCTTCCACTCTGCCAGCGGGAAGGGCTAGGGGCTGCGCAAACCTCGAGCAGACAACTAGCCTGGCAAGCCGCTACTCCCAGTCCTGGCGTCCCGCGGCCAGAGTCCCGCCCCGGCCCCACCCGGCCCCTGCTCTACCCCTCTCCTCTCCTCTCCGGAGGACGAGGGCGTGCAGTTCCTTCCAGCTCGAAGCGTGATGGGGCTCCGTGATTGGGTGGAGCGGAAGAATTGGGTGTGGCTTCCCGCCGGCAGAGTGGCCGCCAGTGGGCGTGACCGCGATGAGGGCGTGGCCCCAAACCCCACCCCCTCCCTGGGACTCAAAGTAGACGGGCGTCCTCGGAGGCGGAGCCAGAGGATCTCACCGCGGCTCCTTGGAGCCTGCCGCCGAGCAGCGCCCCGGCGGGGCAAAGCAGGTACAGGCGACTGCGCGGGGCGTCTTGGGCTGGGCAGGCGGTGGCCAAGGCCCTGCCGAAGGCCATGGAGGGCATTGGGGATCGTGGCCAGTGCTGTGCTTACTCCCTCGGGCTCTGGCCCCTGCCTCCGCCCCCGCCTTCCTGCCGCGAAGCTGAATGTGGCTAGGCCAATTGGCGCCTGCGCCGCTTCTTGCTGCCGGGACCTGCCCCGGGCAGGGGACTAGAGATAAACTGAGTCACGCCGGGGTGAGAGCAATCCTACGCGGGTGGCACAACCCCCCACTGGATTTCAGGATAGACCCTCTTCCTGGCCATGCCTTGGGGTCGCGGCCCTCGCTGATTTCCGCAGAGGCAGCGCCCCACTCCGCTCCCCCCACCCCTCACTTCAGCACCCAGGGATCCTGCCCGGTTCCCAGCAGCCTTCACCCATCCGTAAGGGCTAGGACCCGCTCCAGCCGCCTCCTGCCCCACCCCTCCCCCTCACGTCCCGGGCCCCCGAGTGCTCCCTCCGCAGGCTCTCCGCAGTGTCAGCTTACACGCCTTATATAGTCCGAGCCGGCTCCAGCTGCGGCTTGCCTGCCGGGACCTGGGGGCGGGGGAGAGAAGAGCCAGCCCCTGACTCACCCTGCCCTCACCCTGCCGTCGGAGACTCCAGGCTGGCTTGGGGGGAGGCCCTGCCAAATTAGTTCCACAGCCCATCCCTGGATGGTAGGAACCTGAAGCCTGAATGAGAGCTCCTTTCACCTTTCCAGTCCTTGAGAGAGGGGGCTGCCCTTGTCTTTCTAAGTGAGGTCTGAAGTTTGGGCCAGCCAAAACTTACAAGATACTTGCCCACCTTGGATATGCTTAGCATGTGCCCATACCTGCTTGGCACCTGTCCAAGGATGATGTCCAGATCTTGGGGTCTGCCTGTGGGCCTGCCTGCAATGCCCGTCACTCACTGTCTCTTCTCTCTCAGGATTGGCACCATGGATTCCTTCAAAGTAGTGCTGGAGGGGCCAGCACCTTGGGGCTTCCGGCTGCAAGGGGGCAAGGACTTCAATGTGCCCCTCTCAATCTCCCGGGTGAGCCTAGGTTGGGAAACAGACACCTTCAAGAGTCTTTGGGTCTCAGGTCTCCAGTGGGTGATCAGAGGAACCTGAGCAGGAACAAGCCAGAGGCTAGCAGCCCAGGAAGTGTCCAGGTTCAGCAATGAAATGGTGGCACCAGGATTTAGCTCATTGGCACCGAGCCTGCCTTGCAAGTGCAAGGTCCTGAATTCGATCCCCAGTACCCCCCCCCAAAAAAAAAAGAAAAAGAAAAAGAAATGTAATGGTCACATGCCACAAGGACTCCCAATTAGGTGAGTACTGAGAGAGGAGCCCCTAAACTTCCTAGCATTGCACTGTTCTTGAGGCCACTCCACCAAGCTCCTGTGGCCATCTCTGAGGGCCTAGGGCTGGAGGTGGCAGCTCTTCTGTAGAGTGGGAGCCTCACCAGCTGGGGATTTAGCTCAGTGGTTCTGCCGCCTACCTTGCAAGCGCAAAGTCCCGAGTTCGATTGATCCCCGATCAAAAAAAAAAAAAATTTGTTAAGCAGGAGTGGGAGCCTTACATCTCCAGGAAGTATCTGAGTTTGAAGGAGCAATGTGTGGCTCTAGACACCAGGAAACACACTTTGACTGTAGGTACTTTAGCATTGCTACTACCCATGGAATAGCAGTTGTCATCTTGTTTTGCCAAATGAGACAATTTAGAGAGGTGGAAGGGCTCCTTCAGCAAGTCCATGGCAAAGCAGGGCTTTGCATTAAGGGATGGACCTCACGTAGATCCTCAACAGTGAACATCCCCATCCCTGTTCTCATTCAAGACTTGGTAGCCTTTGACCCTAAGCAGAACTGTAATAAGGCAGGGCTCTAGGTCTCTGACTCCAATTCTGGGGTGTCTGTCCTGGTGGGGGCGGAGCTGGGGACTGGCTCCTCCCTGTGGCAGGGGGATTGCCTTATAAGCTCAAGAATGCAGCTCTAGCTGGGATGCCCAATAGTGGCTAGACTGCAGAGCCCAAAAGAGTTGGCCTAGGCCTGGACCCCTGAACCCCAGTGGGCCCTTCACTTGACATCAGGCTGCAGTGCCAGCTGCAGGGTCTAGCTGTGGAACTCAGAGCAAATTGCCTAACCAGAGTGGATGAGGCCAGCCCTTGGGTTTGGTGTCGCTGACTGTGGCCAAGGGGTCAGGAGGAGGCCAGGACTTTCTGCTCCCACACCCCTTTGCCCAGAGACCCACCCAGACACCTAGTGGGCAGGCAGCTATTTGCAGGCAGCTGAGTACAAGCCCCTCCTTAAGGAGGCCGGAGGGTTTTCCAGGCACTGCCCAACCTGAAAGGGCCTCAGGGGATGTATGTGTGGGAGTTTGGTGTCCAGGACAAGCAGTCAGGTGGCATTCTCAGGGATCCTTCCGCACGGCTTTCCTGGGACCTGTCCTGGAGCCTGGTAACTGAGGGCAGTGGTTCCTGTACTCACACACACCCTCTTTACAATCTTCAGGCCTATCTTATATTCCCCCTTTGTGGACAACTGGCCAGAGTTGCTGTTCTTAGCCTTAGTTTCTTCACTAATGAGAATGACTTTTTGGATGTGGCCTGTTGGGGGCACTCTGGGCCTGTGCTCCTTGTCTTTGGCCCCATCCTGTGGGTGGGGCCACCAGTTGAGCCCAGCCCTGGAGTTGGATCTAGGCCCTGAGGGGTGGATGGGTGGATGGGTGGGGTGGTCTTTCCTGAGCTGGGCCAGCCCCCTACCCCTCCCATGACCCCAGAGTGGAGAGAGAAGGGAGGGGCTAGGGCTGGCTGTAGGCCCGGCCTAGGAGATGAGGTAATGTCTGGGGCTGGGGGGTTGGGCAGCTCAGTGAATCCCTCAGGCTGACTCACCCCTATCCATAGTGTCCAGCCCCCTGGCTTTTCCCCTCCTCAATCCCTTGTGCCTACTCCTGCCCCTGGCTCAAGCCTCTCCCTTAAGCCACCTCCCCAAGAGCTCTCTTGTGCTTCGCTCTCCATCTCTCTGACCACTGCCCTACCCTTCATGTACTTCCTGCCTTCCTTGCTCCAGGGAAGAAAGTAATCCCTCACCCTCAATACACACACCCCTCTTCTCAGAGCCAGCTACTCATCCCTACCCCAAGACCCCCACCTTGGTCCTAGCTCAGCGCACACCTCCCACAAAGCAGGTAGTGGCTGAACCAGGTTTCCTTTATACTGACTCACCATGACCTTCAATAAGTCACTTCCTTTCAAGGATGTCACTTCCTTGTGCCCATTATAAGGGGTTGCATTGAATGAAGGTGAGATGGGGATCCAGGCCCCAAACCCAGCCAGGGGCTCAAGGAGTCTTTCTTAGGTGTATTGGCCTCTCTGTTGGGTCCCCACTCTTAGCCTGGAGTGGTGGAGGCTTAGGATCAGGATCCAATCCAAGCCCTGCCTCTTAGGTGGGTGACTTGAAGCAAAGTGCTATATATCTCTCTGTTTTCCTATCTGTGAAATGGGTATAAATCCAGACTCCCACAGGATTCAGTGTCATACAGCAATTATAGGTGCTCAGTAAATGTAAGCTTCTATTCTTACCACTGTATTTACTATTTAGCTGGTGAAGAAGGGGCCAGCAGCTAACTACTTTGTTAACATTGCCTACAAGCGTGAAATAGAGCTGTCACATCCAGCTCCCCCTTTTGTCCCAGTGCAGGTCCCTCTGCCTTCAGCATCTCTCTAAAACCCTTCACCTCCCCTCCCTGCTTCAGCAAACTATGCACTAACCCAACTGAGGAGCCTCTTGGGGCCTCAAGCAGCCTGTAACCCCATTTCCACCACCATTTTTGAAGTATAAACTAAGCCTGCTCAATGCTGTGCCAGGCCCCTTGCCAGATGGCTGGGTAGTCCCATGGGTGCAGACCCATGGACAGCCACCTGCCTTGTTTTCCTGGGGCTGAGCTAGATAGACCCAATAGGCTTTGTCAGGGTCAGCTTTATCAAGAGCCTGGAAACACCCCATCATCCCAGGCCTGAAAACTGCTCCTTTACACTCAAGGCCAAAGCTTGTTTCCTTCTTGAGGTATTTGAGGCCTTGATAGATGGCCTCTTACCGCTTGGCCTCCATTCTCCTTTGACAGGCTCACCATTTCCCAGAAATCGTCAGCTAATGCAAGTGGTCACTATTCCACCGAGCCTGCTATATCCCTTCGTTTGCCACACAGTCCAGGGATTCCCAACTCAGCCCAAAGGATTGGGGAGGGGTCGGGGTGACACCCATTACCAGCCTACAAAGCTCCAGCTGACACCTTGGGCCATGTTTAGGAACCATTCACAGGGAACCTGCCCTTATTCCTGGCTCTACATGGGGTCCAGGCAGATTCCTGCAGAAAGCCCCAGGACTGACTACTGGCAGGGAAAGAGGTCAGTGAGTATACCCAGCAGTGCCAGAAACGAAGCTGCCACATGCACAAGCTAGAGGGCATATCTGGTAGGTGGACCAGTCTGGGCAGGAGGCCAGCAGGGCTTTCAAAGGCTATAGTCTTTGGCCAGAAGTTTGGGTTTTAGCCTGAGGGTAGCTGTTGATGTCCTAGCAGTGTCTGGGCTATGAAGGAGGGGCATGGAGATAAATAAGTGGTGTGCTGGGAGAAATTGTGTAGCTTCTGCGAGCACACCCCTCCCCCCAGCCCCGGGTCACTTTAGTATCCATCAGCTACCCAGAAAAATGATGACTGAAGGTCTCTGGGTTCTAGATCCTTCCTCTCTCCACAGCTCACTCCTGGAGGCAAAGCTGCGCAGGCTGGCGTGGCAGTGGGCGACTGGGTGCTGAGCATCGATGGCGAGAACGCCGGGAGCCTCACGCACATTGAAGCCCAGAACAAGATCCGTGCCTGTGGGGAGCGCCTTAGCCTGGGACTCAGCAGGTGTGGGCCCTGGATGCCTGGGGGTGGAGATGCCCTCTGGCCTGACCTGCCGTCACCGCTCTCCCTTTTCTTCCAGGCCTCAGCCAGTTCAGAGCAAACCGCAGAAGGTAGGCTGTGGGCCGGGGACATCTGGGCTGCGGGTGGGCGGGGCGTGGACTCCTTGTTTCGGCCTCAGTGTTCCATCCTGGCCGAGGGCTGAGGGTAGATGCCAGAATGGGCAGGGTCTGGAGACCTAGGAGTGGACCTGGGGGCTGCCGCACGGTCTGGGCACACGCATGTCTGCCTGTCTGTCCGCCTGCCTCCTTCCTACCGTCCTGTGCTGCGCGCCCGCCCACTCTTGGTCCTCCTTTGGCCATGGCGGCTGAGATCATCGCTCCCAAATGGGCCCCTTGAAACCCGAGTCGCCCCCTTCCCCATAGCCTTCAGCCAGATGTGTCGGGGCGGAGCTGGAGCTGCTGCTGTCCTTTGGGGGGGGCACCCCACTCCCACCTAGGTCCCCACCCACTCCCGCCCTGGCCCTGCCTGGCTCTGTCTCCGCCCAGGCTCTGGCCCCTGCCGCGGACCCCCCGCGGTACACCTTTGCACCCAGCGCCTCCCTCAACAAGACGGCCCGGCCCTTTGGGGCACCCCTGCCTGCTGACAGCGCCCCGCAGCAGAATGGGTACGTCAGCACCTGCCCGCCCACGCCGTCCAGTCTTTTCTTGGCCCCAAGCCGGCTGCACACTGCTGCTCTGTCTGCGCTAAGCCCCAGCCTGGCGGGAACCGTGCGGCAGCGACCCCTGGCGGTCTGGGCGGGGGCTGCAGGCACGGGGCCCCTCCCAAAGGTTTTGTTCCTGAGAAGGCACTGTCCTGGGGGGCTCCGGATGAGCCAACCCCCCTCCCAGCCCCGCCTGTGGCCTGGGGTTGAGGTGTGGCTTTGAGCCAGCTGAGCCTCAGATATTCTGCTGCCTTGCACACCCCTCTGACCCTTCCCCATCTTGCTTCCTCCCTGTGTCCCTTTATCTGTCCATCTGTCTGTTTCCTTCACAGGTGCAGACCCCTGACAAGTCAGTGAGCCCCCTCTGCCTGTTCCTTTTCTCCTTCCTTTCGGCACTCTGGGCGGTAGCCCCTCCCCACCCTGGCTACCCTCTTGCCCTCTCTCACTTACCTTCCCACCCCATCCCCAGCAGGGCCCTTGGTCTCACCTTACCCCTGTCAACTGTCACCATAACCCATGGGCACAAACCCTGGGAGGGGCTACCCTACTGCTTGAAGCAGCGTGAGGTTCTGAGCTCCCCACCTCCCCACAGACAGCCGCTTCGACTGCTGGTCCCCGATGCCAGCAAGCAGCGGCTGATGGAGAATACCGAGGACTGGCGGCCACGGCCTGGGACAGGCCAGTCCCGCTCCTTCCGCATCCTTGCCCACCTCACAGGCACCGAGTTCAGTAAGTGCCAGCCCAGGGCAGGGCGGACTCTCCTAGCCCTGGCCTAGGCCTGACCCTCTGTGGGGACTCAAAGGCCAGGGTGACCCTCCTTTCTCTTGGTCAATGCCTGCCTCTGCTCTCCCAGTGCAAGACCCGGATGAGGAACATCTGAAGAAATCAAGGTAAAAGGCTAGTACTCGCCCCTGTCTCCCAGCTACTGCCTCTTCCATCCCAGCCACTGCCCCTTTGTCTGTTCCTGGCCCTCCCCAGCCAAAGTGCTTCCTTCTTCCTTCTTTTCTTCCTTCCTTCCTTCCTTCCTTCCTTCCTTCCTTCCATGCTCCCTCCCTACCTCCCTTGCATCTCTCCTTCCTTTCACTTCCTTTTCCTTCTCTCTCTGCCCCTCAGGGAAAAGTATGTCCTGGAGCTACAGAGCCCACGCTACACCCGCCTTCGGGACTGGCACCACCAGCGCTCTGCCCACGTGCTCAACGTGCAGTCATAGCCCACCCCCTCGAGCAGGCTGCCCTCTTTACCTCTCTCTCTGTTCCTCCTGCCCATGGCGCTCCAGCTTCTGCCTACCTCACCTACCCCTTTTCTGCCACTGGTCTGAGCCTCCTGCTGGACTGACCCCAGCAGCCCGCCTGGCACAGGGCCTGGTTTCGTCTGACACTGCCTTCCCTCCTTGCCCTGTGGTATTGCTGTGTGCCAAGGCTGTACTGCCTTTGGGCATGGAAATAAACATTCTCAACCTGCTTTTTCTGCCTCTGTCTTCTATCTTTGTGGGCCTGGTTTGCATTTTGGGTATGGAGTGGTTGGTAGTTCAGAGTCAGTGTGGGCTCTGCCATTCTTGTCTTAGTGAGAGGGCCCTACCTCACCACAGTAGCTCTGTGGGCTGAGAGGAACCCCAAGAGTTGTCCCAGGAGTGGGAATCCTGATCCACCTCTCAGTCCTGTACAACAGAGCAGATAGCTGGAACCTAGCTGTGAGAAGCAGCCCTTCCCATCCCTACCCCAGAGGGACCCAGAGTTCAGCCTAGCAACTCTTATGCATCCAGGCATCTCCCATGGGGCCAGCAGGACTGAGATTGGGGGCAGGGGGGCATGCCAGGAGCCTCAGCCATGCAGAGCCTTGAATGGCAGATCTTGCAGCCAGGTGCCCAGGACAGAAGCCCCAGCCCCAGCCTCAGCGACACCCCAGGATCCCTGGCCTGGTGAGAGAATGGACTTGACCTGGGGAAGGGTGGGTAGCCACCAGGGACATGGGGTGTGGGTTCCTCCATACTGCCCCAGGTTCTATCCATTGTTTGGGGTCCCTGGGCACCCCCACTGGAGCCACTTTCCTTGACCCTGCCAGGCCCCACCAGCCCCAGCCCCACCAGCCGCCCACCCTGGGCTGTGGACCCTGCATTTGCTGAGCGCTATGCCCCGGACAAAATAAGCACGGTGCTGACCCGGCACAGCCAGCCAGCCACACCCACACCTCTACAGAACCGCACCTCCATCGTCCAGGCCGCTGCCGGAGCGGGCGCTGGAGGACCCAACAACGGCAAGACTCCCGTCTGCCACCAGTGCCACAAGGTCATCCGGTGGGTGGCCCTTTTCCCTCCCTGCCCTGGCCTTTTCTGTTCTGCCCACCCATCTTGCCTCAGCTGCTACTGGGATTCAGATCCCAGTTGGAGTTGGGGTAGGGACCTGGCCTGGGTCTTCAGATTCTTAATCCCATACTACGTACCCCTCCCTACTACCGTATCTACACCAACCTCTAGCAAAGTTTTCCCTGATGAAATGGAGGAAAGTGCCAGAAACACCCTGAAGCTACATGGCTAGACTCACTGCTCTCTGGACAAGGAAGGACCTGTCCCTTCCCAGCCCTTCTGCATCTCACCCCTGCTCACTCAGCCTCTGCTAAGCCTCTGCTGTCAGAGCTGCAGGTCCTGCCCCAGGCCAGATGCACAAGACGGGATCTGTACTAGTGTTCAGCAGCATGCTGGCCTCCTTTGTCCCAGGGCATAGTACCTCAGGGTTGTCTCATTAGGTTCAAGCTATCAGCTCCCATTCAGTTTTCCTGGCTCTGAAACTCTCCTGCCATCAAAGCAGAGCAGTGCAACCAAGCTGGCTCCCTTTAAGCTTCATCACTCTTCTAAGTGACCCTGGGCAAGTTTCTTCCTAAGCCTATCTGGGACTCCTACCTCATCTGCATATATTCCCTCTGTTGCCTCCCCCCAGGGGCCGATACCTGGTGGCACTGGGCCATGCATACCACCCAGAGGAGTTTGTGTGCAGCCAGTGTGGAAAGATCCTGGAGGAGGGTGGCTTCTTTGAGGAGAAAGGGGCTATCTTTTGTCCCTCCTGCTATGATGTGCGCTATGCACCCAGCTGTGCCAAGTGCAAGAAGAAGATCACAGGCGTGAGTGGGGCTGGTGGGTGGGTGACCAGTCAGGAATCTGAAATCTGTCAGCACTGAGGATGGTTGTGAGCAAACATCAAACCTGGGGTTCTCTGTATGAGCTCTTCATATTATATGTAATCTCATAGTGCTAGCATGTAGCTCAGAGGTAGAGCACTTACCTAGCATGCACAAGGCCCTGAGTTTCATCCCCAGAAAATCCCCCTGGAAAAAAAATTTTTTTAAAGAAATGTATTGACTCAAATAACTGGATAGTCCAAGGCACTAATGTCAGGCCCAGCTGAATACAGATGCTAAGGTCATCAGGACCCTCACTTGCCTCTGTCTTCCCGTGTGTTGGCTTCATTCCCCAGGATGCTTTTCCCTGGAAGGTGGCAAAGATTGTACCTCAGTACCTCCACAGTTCCATCTCCCCATCCCTATACCACAAACTAAGAGAGCATCTCTGTCCCAGCTGGTGTATCAGAAGTCCCAGCTGTTGCTCGTGGCCTAGCTTGGGTCATATGACCATCTGATCTGAACTAAATGACTCTGATTGGCTGGCCTGAGTTGCACCCACCCCTGGACCTGGGGTTAAATGGCTCCACCTCTGCCACAGATGACAGTGAGGGATGAGTAGTTCTCTAAAACCAAAATGATGTTATCCTAAGAAGAGAAATGATGCACTGAGTGCAGTGGCAAATGCTGTAATGCCAGCAATGAGGGATACTGAAGCAGGAGGATGGCTGTGAGTTTGAGGCCAACCTGGACTACATAGCAAAACTGTGTCTCAGAAAAAGCGGGTAAGGGGCCTGGGGATGTAGCTGAGCGGTAGAGTACCCCTGGATTCCATCCCCAGTACCACAAAAAGAAAAAAGGAACTGCTATATAGGCCAAGAGATGGCTGCTGTACCAGTTAAGGTTGCATTTGGTGGGCTGGGGATTTAGCTCAGTGGTTCCGGCGCCTGCCTCGCAAGCACAAGTCCTGAGATCGATCCTTGGTACCAAAAAAAAAAAAAAAAAAAGATTGCATTTGGCAAGAGATTTAAATAGAGGAGGTTATTTATTTTAATCCCAGGAATTCCGAGACTAGAACAGCCACTAAAAAAAAAGTGTCTTTGGATCCTAGCCTTTTCTCACCTTTTTGCTCCAGAATCATTAGCATTGTAGACCTCTGTCTCTAGCCTTATTGTGTCATGGTCACTAGATGGCTGTTAAAGTCCCAGGCCTATCTTACTGTTCCAAGCAGGAGAGGGAAGGGGCAAATACCATTCTTTGTTAGGAGAAGGGGTACTGGAGATCGAACCCAGGGCCTTGCGCATACCAAGCACACTGCTGCTGTGCTACATCCAGCGCCTATAGCATTGTTTCAATGAGGTTTTGTCTTTGAACTCAAAGAAAAGACAGGAACTGGCTTCCATCTTTAGGGCACTGGGTGTAACTGTTATCATATGACTTCCTGGGCTGCAAGGGAAGCAGAAAGTCCAGTGTACTTGTCAGCTCCAGGACCCCTCACAGGAACCAAAGTCCAAGGATGCTCAAGTCTCTTATATAAAATGGAGTAGTATTTGCATGTAACCTACCAGTGTCCTCTCGTATACATTTTTATTTGTTTGTTTTAGAGACTGAGTCTCACTGTGTGCTTCAGGCTGGCCTTGAGCTCACTATGATGTCCAGGCTGGCCTCAAACTGGCAGGAATCCTCTGCCTCAGCCTCCCCAGTACTGGAATTACAGGCATTTGCCACCATGCCCCGTTTCCTGTATACTTTAAATCATCTTTAGATTACTGATAATATCTAATAGAATGTAAATGTTATGTAAATGATTGTTATACTGTATTGTTTAGGGAATAGTGACAAGGGAAATATCTATACATGTTCAATATCGGTGCAATTTTTTCCCAAACATTTTTTTTTTTGGTACCAGGGATTGAACTCTGGTCCTTGCGCTTGCACAGCAGGCAGTGAAACCACTGAGCTAAATCCCCGGCTTTCCAAACATTTTTGATCTGTGGCTGTTTGAATCTGTGGATGAGGAACCCACAGATACAGAGGACCAGCTGTATTTTAACTCTCCAGCCTCAGAAGAGAATGGCACTGTAAGGCTTTTGAGAGGCTAATCCAGTGTCTGCTGCTTCTAATGCGTGACAAAGTTGAGACTGGAAGATACCTTGATGGGCTTAAAGCACACAGGCAAAGTGGGAAAGGCAGAAATTCAGCCTCAGAAACAAGATTCAAAATCTTGTTTGCCCCACAGAAGCTAAGCACAGAGCATAGCCCAACCAGGTGTCCTGTGGGGAAACCTGGCTACCACCCAGAGCTGGGCTTGGGACATCATCTTCGTGTGTTAAGAGCTTAGAGTAATGGACCATCCGTCTTCTCCCATTTGTTTCCTTTACTAAGTGTGGACAGTGTGCCTGGGAGCACACTGTGAATAAGACAGGTGTGGCATGGCCCCAGGTGCTCATAGCAGGGGTGGGCACTTGGAGGGTATCACAGGCTGAGTATTCTTTGTTTGCAGGGAGAAAAGAAGACAGTAGGGACAGGGTTAACAAGCTGAGTGGGTTCTGGCTGTACATATATGGAAACTGAGGCCCATAGAGGGGCAAAAACTGCCCAAGGTGCCCCAGAGCATGAGCACTGGGCTGGGAGCAGCCCCAGACTCTTCTTACTCTCACTCGGGGCTCTCCCCACCTCACCCATCTTCATTTCTGGATCCAGAGGTAGGACTGCCAGATGTGGCCAGAAAGTTCTGTTATGGTGCTATTTTTTGTTGTTGTTTTTGCTTTTGTTTTGTTCTGTTTTGAGACAAGGTCTCCCTATGTAATAGTTCACTACCCCTTTGAACTCTCTGTGTAATTCAGGCTGGCTTCACACTCACAGTGATCCTCTTGCCTCGGCCTCCTGAGTGCTGAGATTACAGGCATGCACCAGCACACCAGACATGTTATGACGTTATTCATATCAGTGGGAGTGAAATCTTGTGAACAAGGCGGGATTTGCACCCCATACCATAGAGAGGAGGGTCAGAGCATCCTACTAGCTCCTGGGTTCTGGAGTAAGACGGTAGCAAACTCTGCTTCTCCCCCAAGTTAGGCCAATACTTCCCAGGGAGGCCTCAGCTCTAGACAGACCCTGAGGAACCCCCGTCTCACCCTCCCAGAAGGGCAGGAGTCTGACCTCACCAGTCTGGCAGGTGCTCCATTAGGGACTCTCACTATCCAGTAGTTCCTTGGAAATATTCCCTGCCACTGGCTTTGTGCCCTACTCATGCCCACACTGAAGTACGTACTTGCCCTTGGATCTCTCAGGTTGGAACATGGGGAGAGCAACGTGGGGAGTCCAATTGCTTCAGCAGACTTGGCAGGAAGCTCTGGAGGATCGGGGAAAACAGTAGCAGAGGCCTGGCCCAGTCTGGGTGTCATTGCAGGACCCCTGTGTTCTCGAGTCTAGTTACACCAGCCCTTCTCATTCATGCTCCAGCTATGTAGCCCTCTCCATTTTACCAGTGAATTCTGTTCCCTCTACCTCAGGGTCTTTGTGCATGCTTAGCAGCCTTTTTACCTTACTCCTTGTCCTCTGGGACTGAATTATCACTTTTCAGGAACATCTTCCCTGACACCCACCCTCCTCACCGGGCCAGCACCCCACCCTCAGTTTTCTCACTGCACCTCAGTCCTTTGGTCATCTTCCTTCCCTGTGAGTGTGTGCAGCAGCACTGTGCCCCACATAAGAACTGGTCAGCAAACACTTGAACAAGTGGATGGAAGTGGCCTCTAAGTGGAACTTGAACATGCGTAGGAATTTGCTCAGAGAAGATGCAAGCGGAGAGAATAGCTTATGTTGCAAAAAGTATTAGAGAAAGCAGAAGAAGTGGGCAGAGGGCCAGTTCAGATTTGGAGTAGAGTGACTGAGGCGGTCAGATGTGCCTCAGAAAGTTTCCTCGGGCGCAGGGTGGAAAGTAGAGCTGGAGCCAGGGAATTAGAGAGGCTGCTGGGGCTTGGGCCAGGGCAATAGGGATGCCAGCAGCAGACAAATTTAGTACACCCAGGCAGGGAGAAACAAATTGATAACTGGTGCACAGGTTCTATTAAACACTGGCAGAAACCTGTTTCCCACTTCTGGGCTCCAGCCCTGGCCACCTCACCCCTGCAGTAGGTCCCTCTCCCACCAGATAGAAGCCCATGCCCTTCACTTCAACTCTTTGTCCCTTGAAACAGGCAGCACCAGGTAGTGGAAAGAGCCAGCTCTGGAGCTAGCCAGGTGTGGGCACAGAACATGTTTCTAGCTTCTATTGGCTATATGGACTGGGGCAAGACACTTTCTCTGGGCCTCAGTACCGCCTGGCCAGCATGATTTTGAGATACACACAAGATATGAGATAGATGTAGAGGGCACAAACAAGCCACCTGAGAGTAGATGTCATTCACATTTATATCTTGCTTGGCCACACTTTCATTTCTAAATTAATGGCCATCGTTTAAAAAACGGGTGGGCCGGGGATTTAGCTCAGTGGTTTTACTGCCTGCTGCGCAAGTGCAAGGATCTGAGTTCGATCCCCGGTGCCAAAAAATAAAAAAATAAAATAAAATAAATAAGAAATAGGGGTAGGCTGGGGATTTATTTAGCTCAGTGGTTTTGCCGCCTGCTGCATAAGCGCAAGGACCCAAGTTTGATCCCCAGTACCAAATAAATAAATAAATAAATAAAAAACAGGGGTATGGGCCAGGGATTTAGCTCAGTGGTTCCGCTGCTTGCCTCGCAAGCATAAGGACCCGAGTTCAATCCCTGGTACCAAAAAAAAACGGGTAGGAATGTAGCTAAGGCACTTATCTTGTTTTTTGTTGACTTGTCCAGCATTCTTAAGGTACTAGGTTTGATCCCTGGCACTGCAAGAAGAAAAGGAAAAACAAAATTAAAGCAGAAGCTTCCACTTTAACACCTAGATTTCAACCTGAGCCACCTAGGCATCCCTAAATGAACTGGTCAATGCTCCACGTTGAAGCCAAACAGAAAATTTCCTCCGTGACAGTCCCAACCTGGCCCTTGTGAGGATAAGTCTGAGACCCCTGGCCTCAAATGGGGGACCATTCTTACAGAAGCCCTGTAAGGGCAAGTTCACAAGAAAACAACCATGTCTCCAGACAAGATGAAACCATTAGCCAAGTCACCCTATGCTGTCCTCTGCCCACTCTAGATCTGAATGCTGCTGTCCTGGTTGGCTTACAGATCCAAGGGAAGGACAGCCCAGCCCTAGCAAGAGCCCATCCCATAAACCTCTGCAGTAGAGCCAGGTTAAGTCCATTCCCACTGATGGATGAGGAGTCAATATGGGCCAGGCAGTGTTGGGACAGACCTGTTAATAGAGCAGTTGCTGCTTCATGCCTTCCTGGCCCAAGATTGTAGCTGGAAGAATGGAGGACAGACAGAAATCGAGACACAAGTAAGTTATCTGGAAGTATGTCAGTGAGATGTTAGTAGGAACAGAGTAAGAGGTACCAGGAGCCTGGCGAGGGAAGGCAGGCTGGAGAATTGACTGGTGTGATCAATGGGCCATATGGGACAATGACATTTGTGCAGAAATTTAAAGGAGGTGAGGGACCGGGGAGCCTGGAGATTTGTGGCAAGAATGGTCAGATAGGGGACAGCCAGTGTAAAGCGCCAAGACTGTGTGCCTGGCATTTCAGTGACAGGCTAGAGGCCATTGTGGCAGGATCAACATAAAAATGTGAGAGGGGGCCGGGGATTTAGCTCAGTGGTTCCACTGCCTGCTGCACAAGTGCAAGGTCCTGAGGTCGAGCCCCGGTATCAAAAATAAATAAATAAATATGTGAGAGGAGAGCAATGAGGGGTGGGGATAGGAGACAGGCCAGTCCTGCTGGCCCCTGGGCCCTGCACTGGACTTGCTGTGCCTCCCACCAGGGATTGAACTCAGGACCTTGTGCTTGCGAGGTAGAGGTGGCGCCACTGAGCTAAATCCATCCCCCACCCTCCACCTTTTTTTTTGACAAACGAGAAGCCTGGCAGGGTTCTGAGCAAGTGACATGGACTGGTGTGGGCTGAAGAAATTCACTGATGCCAGGATAGGGTTGTTTGTAAGGGCAGAGGTTGGAGCACAAAAGCCAGTTTTGTGCAGTCAGGCCAGAGACAGGCATAGCTCACATCAGGGACACTGATGGACAATGGCTGTGTCTTGAAGGTAGACTTGACACAGGACGTGAGAGCAAGAAGGGAATTGAGCCCTGAGCAGAGGGAAGGATGGGGTCACCATCCACTCTGGGAGGAGCAGGTTTGCAGTGTGGAGACTGGGAGCTGAGTTGTAGGCATGGTGAGTCTGAGAGGCCAACATTCATGTGGAGACCTGAGTTGGCCCCAGAGCCAGGAGAGTCATGCATGTGTAGACATAATATTTACCAGGAGAAGAAGGAAGGCCCAAGGCAGCTTCCTGTGACCTGTTCTGGTGGAGGGGCCTGAGCCTGCTGGAGTGAGTGACTGTTGCCTCCTCTCAGGAGATCATGCATGCCCTGAAGATGACCTGGCACGTGCACTGCTTCACCTGTGCTGCCTGCAAGACACCCATTCGCAACAGGGCCTTCTACATGGAGGAAGGGGCACCCTACTGCGACCGAGGTACAGGGCAGGGATGGCCCAGTGAGACAAAAAGGGACAAAGTGAAAGACAAGCATGAATCCAGGCTCCTTTCTTCCCTTCTATCCCCAGACTATGAGAAGATGTTTGGCACAAAATGCCGAGGTTGTGACTTCAAGATTGATGCTGGGGACCGCTTCCTGGAAGCACTGGGCTTCAGCTGGCATGATACGTGCTTTGTTTGTGCGGTGAGAGCCCCACCCCTCAGACTTCAACCCTGCCCAGAGCCTTCTCTCCATTCCTGCCCGGGGGATGCATACGAGATTGGGAAGGGACCTCTCCTACTGTCCTCAACCCCATGTGACTGGACCTTTGCTGTCCCCAGATATGTCAGATCAATCTGGAAGGAAAGACCTTCTATTCCAAGAAGGACAAGCCCCTTTGCAAGAGCCATGCTTTCTCCCACGTGTGAGTCCCTCCCCCTGGCCCCACCCAGCCAGAAGGGTGAAGGGTCTGGAGTTACCCCCAGCATTCCTGATGGGGCTAGCAATGGTTACCCCAACCCCAACTCCTGGCCAAAGCCTGGGGTTCCCTGGACACTGTCCCACTTCAGTCCTTCCCCTCTCACACACACTTCCCGCACCACTCTCTCACTCTGGTGCTGGCCACACCGGCCCCTGTTCACCTCCAATGCCACAATAAACCTGTATCCAGTTGTGTGCTATGTGCCTTCTGTCACGCATCAGAAATAGTGGGAGGGCCAGGGATTTAGCTCAGTGGCACCACACCTGCCTCGCAAGCTCAAGGTCCTGAGTTCGATCCCTGGTACCAGAAAAAAAAAAAAAGGACTAGATATGGTGGGATTTGAGGCATATGACAAGGTGGGGGTTGAAGATGGTTTTCTTGGAGCTGGCCATTCTTAGTGGTCCTCCTGATGAGGACAGGGAAGGTACGTGGTCACGAGGAGGTAGCACAGGGAGGGCCCTAGGTGGTGGACCTAGTGCCAGATGTGAGGAAAGCCACTGGTCTGGCCTGGCTTGAAGGCTGCAGTAGAGGAGCTGGGAGTGGATCTGCAGAAATGGGGCAAAGAAGACACAGCCAGTGTGAGGCCTCGAGGTGCCACCTGTGATCCATCATCCAGATGCTTGAGAATGGAACAGAAAGCGGGGCTGGAGAGGCTGGTCCCAGGTCTTGGGAAGCCACAGTAGCCAGGCGAAGGCCTGGGACTGTTTCCTCAGAGTGAAGTACTGAAGAGGTTTGTGTTGTAGAAAGAGGCCCAGAGGGCAGTGAACAAAGTACACAAGAGGAAGGAGGCTGGGAGGAGGGGTTGAGACAGTGGCCCAGGTGGCAGGGGCAAGGAAAGGTAGTGGCAGAGATGGGACCCAGTAACAGGTCCCAGGAGCTCAGAGTGAGGGCCCAGAGGATAAGGGAGGGGAGAAGGACAACTTTGTTAGGCATCTGTATATACCAGATATGGTTTACATGGTCTTATGATTATCCCACCAACCCGGTCATTTTCTAGATGCAGCTCAGAAAGGAGAAACCTGACCACAGTCCCATAACCTCTGAGCCATAAGCCAGACTAGAAACCAGGCCTGAAGCTGAGGGCACTGTCCTGAGACTGGCTGCCACTGAGCCCCATTTGCTAGCTAGTGCCCTGCTGGGAAGTGCCTGCTGTCTGGTACCTCGAGGACTGGAGGCTCTGGTAATGGTCCCATCATTCCCAGGGGCTTCCTGCTTCCAACTATGCCCTCCACCACCAGTTGAGCAACTGTCAACTGTCCTGTCCCCAGCCTAGCCTGGAGAGGGACTGAAGAGAGAACCCCAAACTAGGAGGCCAGAACAACTTTGTGCTCATGGGTGCCTGTCCTTTCAGGGTCTCTAACACGAGGACCTTAGGCACATCCTTGGCCTTCTGAACAGATCACTGGACTGGGCCTAGGGGTGTGGTCAGTGCTGAGGCCCTTTTCCCAGCATGCAGGAGCTCAGTCTTCAGTGTGCATGCACATGTGCACACACACACACAAATCCTTAAGGGTCCTGGTTGTGTTCTGTCTTGGATTCTTGGAGAATGAGTGTAGAGTTTTGTGTTTTATTTCCATGATATCCTGCCAGAATTAGAGCAGTGTCTGGCTTATAGTGGACACCTAAAAATATGTTTGTTTAAAGACTGAATGAGGTGCCTAGGAGACATTCAGGAAGCAGCTGAAGATTCAAGACTAGATTGACCTCAGATTCAGTTCAGGGCACTCGACATAAATGCTAGTAATTGATTCCTGGGGAGAGCCAGGGAGCAGGGCCCAGGCAGGTGACATCAGGAGTAAAGCAGATGGGATGTGATTTTCTTTCAACCCAGATATCCTGAGCATATTAAACACTGAGTATCTTACACTTCACAAGGAAGTGTTCACTTTTCCACTTCTCTTGAACCATGAAGCCCTCTCAGTCCATCCTCAGTTTCCATGGATACAAGCAAGCAGGAGCAGAGAGGCTAGTGGCAGTTGCTGCTGGGGACCTGTTGGGATCACGGCCCTCGTCCTGAACCAAGGGCTCATGTGGGAATGCCAGGCTGTGCAGCCAGAACTGCCAGTTTATCGACAACATCCAGAGGTTCAGACTTTTGTGTGAGAGCTGGATTTTTAGTATTGGCAACTGTTTCCTCTTCTAAATCCTATTTAAAAAATAATAAATATTTGCCAAATCCAGTGTGAGGACAGCTAGGGCCTCGGTACAGGGAATTGAGAGACCTGGAACACCAACATCGAAGCACTGGGCAGAAAAAGCATAAGGAGCTGCCAGGGGGGAGGATGACAGCCTCCAGAGAGCTCCAGGGCAGGGAAGCGGGCAGGGCAAGAGTGTTTCCAGTAGTTGCCAACAATGTCAACCAGGCAGATAAGGCTGAGGAGTCCCCGTGGTGTTTCGCAACAAGGTGACATTTGCCAGATCAGTTTAGCTGAGAGCTGGGGCGGCTGCCAGGGTTAAAGAGGAACAAAGAGGGGGAGAAGGGTGAGGATGTGGAAGCAGAGAGTGCAGACAGCTCTTTTAAGAGGCTTGCTTGTGGTGGGCCAAGAGGAGGTCACTGTCAACTGAGCAGGCCAGGATAAGGACGGAGGGAGGAAGTGGAAAGTGGATTTAAAAGGACGAGAAGTTGGTGGCAGGAGAATATAAGAAGATAGACTAAACAAAGCCAGGTATGGTGTCACATGCTTATGATCCCAGCATTCAGGAGATTGAAGCAGGAGGATTGTAAATTCAAGCCCAACCTGAGCTACATAGGAAGACTGACTCAAAACAGTCAGGCATGGTGGCCCACACTTGTAGTCCCAGCACTTGGGAGGCTGAGGTAGGAGGATCATTTGATTTTAAGGCCAGCCTGGGCTACAAAGTAAATTCAAGTCCAGCCTGAACTGCATAGTGAGACCCTGTCTCAAAAAAACCAAAACAAGTTGGATACGGTGGTACAGGCCTGTAATCTCAGCACTCCTGAGGCTGAAGCAAGAGGATAGCAAGTTCAAGCCCAGCCTGGGGAACTTTGCAAGATCCTGTCTCAAACTTTTAAAAAGGGATGGGGATATAGCTTAGTCCAAAGGCCTTAGGTTAATCCCCAGTACCATACATAACACACACACACCCAAAGGAAATTTTTTTTTTTTTTTGAGACAGGCCCCGCTATGTAGTTCAGGCTGGCCTGGAACTCACAGCATCCTCCTGTGTCAGCCTCCCAAGTGCTGGAACTATAGGCAGTACTGGGACTATAGGCATGCACCACCATACCCAGCACGAAAAGGAATCTGATTGGCTACCTCACTCTGCATTCTATATGCTGAGAAAGGAATCACATGACATTTAATCATCCTCTCTTTAAAAGTGATACCTTTTTGTGGTACTAGGGATTGAACCCAGGGGTGCTCTATCACTGAGCTATATCCCTACTCCTTTTTAAAAATTTGAAACAGTCGCCAGGGCTTTAGCTCAGTGGTTCTGCTGCCTGCCTTGAAAGCGAAAAGTTCTGAGTTTGATCCCCGGTAATAAAAAAAACATTTTTTTAAACAGTCTCGATTAATTGGCCAGACTGGCCTTGAATTGGTGATCCTCTTGCCTCAGACTCCTGAGCTGCAGGGATTACAGGTGTGTGCCACCATCCCTGGCAAGAGGGATGTTATTGAAGGCATGTTTCAGATGGGAAAACTGAGGCTTGAAGAGAAAAAATGACCTATCCAGAGCCACCCACCTGGAATGACCAGGAACTGCTACTACAAAGATCAAAGGTCAAGATACTACCCCCTGAACCACCTACCTCTCCTGTCCCCTCCCATCCATTACCATAGGGCTGTAAGGATCACTGTGTTCCCAAAGTAGGGTACAAGGCTGTGCGGGTGGAGGCTACAGGGACTGGGAAATGAATGTCCTTGTGCCAGGCAGGGAGACCATTAACACCCTTGGAGAGTGCAGTGTCCCCCACTGAGGGGGCAGAGCCCGTGGCAGGGAGCTGAGTGGGCAACTGGAAAGGCAGCAGGCAAGGGAGGGGCTTTTTCCAGCTCCCACCGGCTTGAGCTTATTTGGAATCAGCAGGGAGAGAGGCGGTGGAGGGTGAGGGACTGTTTCACCAGAACTGATGATTCTGTTGCTGCCTCCTCAGTGCTGGGCCCCACATGGCTTGGTACACACAGAAGGCACCCACAATCCCCAATTCTGCAGCAGCCTTCTGGGTAGAGAGCTGAGGCCAGGGGCTAAAGCATCTGGCCACAGGTTACCCAGGGAACAGAAGGTGGCCCGAATCCAAAGCCAACTCTGACTTCCTCCCCAGTGGGAGGAGGAAAGAAGGACTTCAGGATTGTGAGGGATCATAGTGAGACAAGAAGCTTGTCAACTGGGAGCACGGGGAGAATCCAGGAGGCCAGATGCTTTAAATATTGTGCAGGGAGTGTCTCTTCAGCGGGACCAGTGAGGACCTCAGAAACAGACTTGGTCGTCTTGCTCAAGGACTGAGGGCACTAGAAGGACAATTTAGGTTCCACCCACATCCCTTCCCAGTGATGAAAATGACCAGTACTAAGAAACCTGGTCGATTACTGCAATTTAAACTAGTTTAGGGCCAGGGATTTAGCTCAGTGGTTCCACTGCCTGCCTCGAAAGCACAAGGACCTGAGTTTGATAACCAGTACCAAAAAAATAAATAAATAAACTAGTTTAAGAAAGAACAAGGATAATTTACCTGAAATAGTTAACAGCTTCAGATGAGGCTGGATCAGCCAGATCCAGTACCCACAGACTTCTGTCTTATACTCTCTCTGCCCCTCTGCTCAGCGCTGCTTTCCTCAGTGCTGGCTTCATTCTTGGGAGGCATTCCCTGTCACTGGGAGAGATAGGCCCCCAGCAACTCCAAGCCCACATCCTGCCAGCTCAGCAGCTCCAATGGCCAGAGAAAGACTTTTGTCCGCTGCACCCAGTGCTGGAGATTGAACCCAGGGCCTTTGCTCTGAACTATACCCCAGCACTTTTTATTTTTTGTTTTGAGACAGTCTCCCTAAGTCTCTAAGTTATCCAGGCTGGGCTCAAACTTCGATCATCTTGCTTCATCCTCCCAGAGTGCTAGAATTACAGACATGTGCCACCATGGCCCTGCAAAAAGTCCCAGGGCTGATACTCTTTGGTCTGACTTGTGTCATTGTTTCATCCCTAACCTAATCACTGAATCTGTTCCGTCGGGCCTGGGTCA